GGGGGGGGGGGGGGGGGATATGTGGCCTCGGGACTGCGGATTGAACAGCCCGCGGACATCCGAAGTTGCATCGGTAAAGTATTAGGGCAGAAACGTGTGCCGCACCAAGTGACCGTACACAGAGACACGCGCAATCATACAATCGCATCTACACGTTCGTCGCGATCATAACCGCCCTCTCTTACGCTACTTAACGGTCCTTTTGACTTCGTAGATAGTATGATTTTCGAATTGTACGAGAAAACAGCGACGTTGCCGCCGACGACGACGACATCGAGAAATAAACCGCCGCTTACCGCATTGCGGTACATTGAATTGTCTCCGAATTTATCGCCGCGAAAATCTCGTTGTTATTGTTATCATTGCGAATTATATTCGTATCGTTATCGTAACTATGATTATTTCATTGTATATCACACGACACGCATATAGATACGTACGAGAAGCTGAATGAGACAAAAGCAAGACTAACCGCGAGTATCTTGACTCGTACGAGACGACGACGACGAGAGTGCGGACTTTCTTCTAGGAGAGCAATTCAAAATGATGTTGTCATCGTCGACATATTATTGCATTAACATATTATTATAATTTATTCTTATAACGTCATTATATATCGTTATCGCTACGATTGCCGTGATTGTCGTCGGCGCCTTCCGCAGCGAAAGCCACCGTTACGTATTATACATATTATTAGATAAACGTATCGCCGCTGATCTCACGTTTGAGGGATTTCGACGGAGAAAACCGATGATGATGCCCCGTGATTAAACTACACTGCGTATCGTAGCCGATGATCGTGACGAGTAATCGACCAGAAGAATTAAGAAAAAAAATATAAAATTAAGAAATAAATACAAGAAAAATACAAGAAGCGGGACACAAAGGCGAATTATATATCTATCACTGTATCGAGAGTTGTGCGCTGCGTTTACGATTTATATATATAAGCTAGTTCATTTGTAAATAAAAAAAAACTATTTGACTCTTTGACTCGTCGCGTTGTTAATTGATTCTCGCGCGATACCCCAAAATATCCCCCATCCCACTCGTCTCTGTGCAGAAAAAAGAAGTGCTGGATTCAAGTATATAAATAATTATTACAATTTTCTCTTTAACAAATCTTTACTTGGATTGAGGAAATTTAATTTTGATCAAGTAAATACTTCATTTGGAAAATATTTTATCTGGATCGAGCAAATATTACTTACACGTGTGATCAAGTAAAAATTTCTTAAGAAACATTGGAGTAATTATTTACACTTGAATCTAGAATTCTTTTTTCTTCCGTGCACGTATTGTCTTATAACAATTTCTCATAAATCTATATTGCTTCCTCACGCGAGAGCTTGTAGACGCAGAGAGAATTGCGGAATATATTGAAGCCATAACGAGATGAATACATTCAGCCTCGATTTCGCGCGATGATAATTTGCGAAGAAAAAAACTATTTGTACGACTCGGACTCTCGTAGCGTTGTTAATCGATTCTCGCGCGATGCCCCGGAGTATCCCACCTTATCCGTCTCTACGTATTGTTTTACATTCATTTCTTCAAATCCAAATCGCTTTCTCACCAGACGCTACCAGATGCAGAATCGCGAAACATGAGAGATACGCGAAGCCGTAATGCGATGGATGTGTGTCTCGCGCGCGATAATTTCTGAAAAACGGTACCCAACGCGACCGGCGAGAGGGGAATCGTCCGATCTCTCGGCAGGGAGGGTCCTCTTCGTCGTCCGATCGTCTACGACGTCTCTCGCCTCGCGAAGAGAACACGATACAATCGCGCGTTCAAGCGACGCAGGGCAACTGCTGGTACATGAGACACATGCCGGCGTTGTCCTCGATGGTGCCGCTGCCGGTGTTGCCACCGGGTCCGAATGCCACCCTGATGCGGAAGGGCGTCGACCAAGTCTCCACTCGACAGTTACCCTCGGCGTCGAGCTCGTCCCGGCTGCACAACGAATTGCCGCAATGCTCCAGATTGCAGATACCGGCCATGTTATTTCCGGGCTGCAACGGACGTGTTCGGTGTGTACGGTCAGCGCGCATCGAGCGAAATGCAATGCTCGCGAGCCGAAGTGAACATGAACTCACGTACCGTGATGAACTCCTCGAAGTCGCAGGGGATGAGTATCCTGTCGCGACACCGGCCGCCGACCGACGGCGGGGCCGGGCTCGAAGCGCCGGAGAGGGCCGTCGTCTCCGTCTCGGGCGATCCCGCGCCCGAACCCTCGGCGACGTCCGCGTCGGAATTGTTCGCGAATCCAGCTTCGGGGGCGATGCTCGGGCTGACAGGCGTGGCGGACGCGTTTCCGGTGGCCACGTTCGCGGCGTTCAACGTTTCCGGCGAGCCGAGTCCTATCCGAAAAGAGTCTCGCGTGCACGGTTGATAAGCGATACCGCACATGTCCCGCTCCTGACGCACGCACAATAAGTAATCGTGCTCGGCGAGGTATCTGCCGTTCGGCAGATAATTGAATGTCCTCAGCGTGCCGTTCGGTGAGCGAAAGTATTGGAGGCAGCCGACCGGTGCACGCTGCTCGAAACCCAGCTGCAGCACGCGCATCTCCCACATTCGTGACTGCAGTCCGCCCGGCAGCCGGAAGTTCAGGCTGATCGGCTCGTCGCCTTCGTTCACGTCCACGTATACTGTCGATACAGGCCGGGCGCGTGCTACTTAAATTCCTCTCGGGAAACATCGCGCGCTACGCTCTGACCGAATGAGATTCTCACGACGGACTCTGAGAAACTCTGATCTTTTCGTTCCTACTGTACCGTATATATTAGATCATTTTATCAGGATATCGGGAGTACATTGTAGAAACGATTACTCTCTGAACGGTCTGCAATTCAGCGACTGACAATCGAGATGAGATATCGCAATTTATACAAAAAGTCCGGCGGTCGAAACGTTCGAAATCGAATATAAGCGGTTCTCACCGTGCTGCCCGCTGTTCCACCCGCACAATTCGAAGGACGTCCTGCCGTTGTTAATCTCCATGACATCCTCGTCGCACACACCGGTCATCGCATTCGGTTGACCCTGAAACATAATCTTACCGGCTCGGCATATTCGTTTCGCGTTTTCGTACTTTTCGTCGCGATCGTGCGACACACGCGACCGAATCCGAAAAATAGATTTTTGTCCTTTATTGCGCTCTCTATTCTCGTTTAATTGCAGTGATATAAAAATGATAAAAAACGCGCTATTAATAAAGAAGGGACATTTTACGGACATGACGAGCAAGTAGCGCCGTGTCTTCTGGGTGACGGCAATTCAGAAATAATCTCCGTCGCTCTCTCTCTCTCTCTCTCTCTCTTTCCTTCTCACTCTCTTTATCTTTGCGAAAGAATACGAGCTTCATTCACACGTCGTGCGTGTGTGTGTGTGTGTGTCAGTATCGACATTGCTTGGCGACTCGCGGAATATTAGATGCGCCAACGGAACGACACTAGGGGAATCGACAGTTGCGATCCACCTATTCCCCCTTGCAGATAACGCTCTAAGTATAATAAAGTATCCCTGAAACTTACAATGTTGAAATGGACAAAGTCGATCCTCAGCTGGCTGACCTCCGTATCGATCTTCCGTACAAGCACCGAGCAGTTCATAGGCCGGTCGATGAGGTTGGGAAAACCAGGACTGGTCACGTAGGTTAGATTATTTTGCACCTCATTGTCGCAGCTTGCCGTGACTGAGAACCGTGTGTATATTAATTACCGGCGCAATTGATCGAACGCTCGTACGTATACGTGTGCGTGTGTGTGAGCGCGCGCGCCAATGTGTCTCGCGTTTTTCCGTTTGCGTTACCGAGTATTTTATCAGAGACGCCGACTTGGTCGATTGGCCGGCTGACCACCCACTCACCTGCTTCGTGCACCTGCTTGTGTCGGTTCTAAGCGCGATTACAAATTGCGTGAGCGCGTTGTGCGTACAACAAACGGACGTGCGATACGTCAACAAACGCGACGTCGATTGTCGCAATGCTCGCTTGAGAAACGTGACGGTCGCATATATTTCAAACCGAGAGTCGTTAATAATAATTCTGTTAGCCTTCTGAAGTTAAGTGGGAAATGAGACACCTGAGTTTAAAGCGTCACCGTGACGCTCAACTATAAAGTGCGCAGTGTGCAAACTACAACAATTCGCCTCTCCTTCCCGTCCTACTTCTCTCTCTTCTTCTTCTTCTTCTTCTTCCACGGGTACCTGAATAATTGAATAATTTTCACCGAGGGGGCAGCCCGCATCGAAATTTGTCAATTTCACGCGGCTCAGGGTGATGCGCGCGGCAAGTGCGCGCAAATTACAGCGTAATCGCTGTTACACGATAAAGAGGAGGGGAGGGGGGAGAGCACGCCGGAGAATCTTCGCCGGGAAATCTCCCGCTTGAAATTCATGCGCGGATGGATTAAACGCGCACGCGAGACTTCGTTCCAACGACTTTCGCGTCCCGCACCGTCGTGGGCGTCGTCGTGCGATATTCTCGCGAGCAGCCTCCGGCTTCGATAACGAGTTCTCATTCAGGTATTCAGTGACCGTTTTAGAATCTCGGGACGCTATTCAACGGGCCGCTAGCTAGAAGAAACGGTTACTGCCTTCGCATGTAGATCTTACTTCCTCCCTACAGCTGGGAAACAACTTGGTGGACAATATAAAAAATGCATGAACGCTTGATGTCGCCGTGTTGCAGGCAGGACAGCGTAACGTTGCCAGCGGGATGATACACGCATTCAACGATTCAATGAAAAGAGCCGAGAGAGAGAGAGAGAAAAAGAGAGAGGAGGAAAAAAGGAGAGGATAGCTTTCGATCCGAGGCTCGCGAGCACCGGTCAGATTTATTATATGCGTGCTCGCGCACGCGTGATAACGAGATCTCCTTTGAGTTACGCGAGCAGGGTGAATGGTGTGAAATTTTAATGACGGTTTCTTCGAGCGGAAAACATTTAACTTCTCGATACGACGCGAGAAGCTCCTCCCGGCGAGGCGAAACTGGCTCGAGTGAATTCGCGTCGCTGCCAATTGCTGAGTACACGTTCGCACTTCGCGATTCTCCGATCGCCGCGGTATCATGTCCTCGCTCGGCATGATGCGTATTCGCAATCTAATAGTAAAACTCGGACACGGTGCGTCCATGGTGCACCTCTCGCTATGCGGGGACGGCGAGAGGTGGTATTCGGGAAATCGGTCAAGAATCCGTACGCACGGTATGGCCCTGTTTTCGACTGTGCGCGCAGTATGTACCGTGGTGGAAAAAACGAATGCGAGACCGCTGACAAAAGAAGAAGCGGCGAGGAGGAGCAATTGGACGGGAAACTTTATAAAGCACGGCCGGAAGACGGAACGGTCTCGAGCCGGTAATAAAAAGTTTTCCGCGCGCGCGCCGGGAAGCGATTTATATCACGGCGAGAATACGCTCGTGTCGCGACGAAAATTTTATCGTCGCCCGGGACATATCCGGCGGGTAACCGTCTCTTCGCGTTTAATTCAGATCATCATCGCGCGCGTCCTGTATCCGTGAAAAATTATTCACACGACGACGACGACGACGATACATTCATGAGGAGTGAAATTTGAAAAGGCGAACGACCCGAATCGACATTTTTTTACGATTCTTTGATGCTCTTGAGGATAGTTTACACCTATTTAAGCAGCCTGTAGACTACACAGAAAAAAAGCTAGAATCAAGTAAATGTAATTACCTGTTTTACTCTTAAATCAATATTTTTACCAATTTAATTATATTTCAACAATTTGTGTAAATATTTATTTTAATGCAATAATATCTTAGTTTGTAACTGAATTATTGAGTGTAAGTGTAAAATGTAAAGTTGTAAAATTTAAAAGAGTACTTACTAGAATTACATATGTAACATTTCTTTTCCATTGAAGAAATCTGGTAGTTTAAAATTTTAATTTTCGGTCCAGTAAATGTTTTCTAAGAATGAATTCCGATATCCTTAACATTACGAATTTGACACCTGTCACAATTGATTTAACATGTGCAAATAAATGTTTATTTAGACGAAAGAAATATTATATTGTGTGTATATATAGTCAGTTATATTTTTACTACTAGTAAATATTTGCCAAGGAATATTGGAGCAATCATTTTACGTGGATCAAGTAAATATTACTCGAACGATAGTACTTCTTTTTTTCAACGTAATAAAAACCTACTTTGACGATACTACATCTGTTAAGTGTTCTCCTGAGCCTCTAATTTTACAGACTCAATTTTTAATATTACCTTGAAGCTACGAATTCTCTCGATATCTCAGTTATTAAATTCACACGAGTATTCAAGACAACCTATCTTGACGCTAAAAACAGCGCAAACGGGAATCTAAAATATTTTCGTGGTCAAAGTAGGAGGAAATTAGAGTATCATTAAAATCGTACCTGTCTGGCTATCTCGGCTCCTACTGTATCGTAGAATTAAAGATTTAACGTAACTGTCTGGCTATCTCGGCTCCCACTGTATCGTAGAATTAAAGATTTAACGTAGAGCCGAAATTCCGGCTCAGGAATTCCGCGTAAATCTCGGAAGCGCGCGAGCCTCGGAAACGCAATCGCGCCCCGTCGTCGGGTCCCTCACGGTGCGATGCTCGTGACCGCGCCGAAAGGCAATTAAGTAACTGTATATAACTTGGCCTTCTCGAGAGTTCTTCCTCGTCGCGCGCGAGCTCTCCGCGTACCGTTCCTCCTTTTTTCCCCGCCATCCTCGAGTGCTCCCTTTCACGCTATCGAGGAGAACGTGCTGCTTGAGATCGCAGCTATAGCTATCCCGATACCGTTAAGCTAAGCGGAAGATCGCCGGTCGATGTGCAGGCGATGATGCGAATGCGAAAATCGCGCTCGGGAAGCAAACGACGAAGATACCTCGAATTGCGCGCGCGCGTCCCGAAGACTCCATCGAGAGAGTGCGTGTCCCTCTCGTGTTTGCGCGCGCCACGCTCTTCGTTCATCTCGAATCAAGAGGAACTCGGCTTCCTGTGCACATTTTTTCTAACCGTGGACGGACAGAACAGGCCTTTCGAGGCTGTTACAGCAACGTGCTATTTCAATTTTTTAATTTTTGCAGGAAGATATATAAATATTTATCGCGCAATGACGCACGTACCGGACTAGCAATTTCATTTTTTAATATAAATTAAACAACAAAAAAATAGTATTTCGCTACAATAACGGCGATCGGGCTTTAAAAGGACCGTTCTGTCTCCCCGTTGGTCGCTTCTGCAGATCTGAGAGATGTCGATATAAGTTTGGCAATGTTTTCTCTGTTGATTTTGGAAGAAGAACCGGTGGGGCCGATCGCACGGAGGAGAATATATCGGAAGACGCGGAGTACGTCGGCTGCGAGGAAAAGTTTCCGCTTCCGACCGGGATGAATCGACGTTCCTAGGCAGGACGTTCCGAATGCGCGCGACGATATATATTCGCGACGCGACGAAGGATGGACGCGCATTTACGCGAATGACAGGTATACTCACATATGCAGCACACACCGAATCCGAGCGCGCACGGTCCGTGGGACACTCCGTGCTGGATACGGCACTCGTATGTGTTCATGCATATCCCTTGACGTCGTTTGTCCTCGGACAGGCACTCCTCCTCGACCGGAACGGGGAAGAAGTTTAACACTGCGGGCATAAAGGTGGCCGGGCAAAAAAAGGATGAGGGAACGAAAAAAGAAGAAGAAAAAGAAACGAGAACACGGTACACGTGGTCGAGCGCGTGTGACGCGGCGAAAAACGCGTTTCGAAGCGCTCGATCTTTCGAGCGCTGCTCTGTCGCGAATTAATCCGTTATAGAGACGGATGTAACGGAATAATACCGATTATTTATAGTTTACACGTCTATTTTTCCGTGCTCCGTTTAAATGCCAGCGCTTTTAAATCATTCCCCCGGCATGCCCCTCGGATGTCGTTCGCACGCATTGGAAAAAGCTTTTCGAAGGAAATACCTCGGCGGCAAAGCGAATTTTGCCATTTACCTCCGCTACACCGTATCGCAGTCGATATATATATATCACGATACGTACAATATCACGTATACGTTCTTAAGAGCGAAACGGCACGTGCCTCGACTGACAAGGGACCAACGAGCGGCTTCGGACGGTAATGGATTTGTCGGGGGTCCGGTAATATGGCAGCGTTTACGTCGTTGTTGACGAACAATCGTATTGTGCAGCGAATTCGTTACGCGCTCCCGAAATGTATACGCACGAAGGGTGATGCAACAAGACAAACGCGAGAGGAATATTTCTCGAATACCTCGAAGGGATTCCAAGGAGCCGTGCGTCGGCGTTATTCGTGAGGTTCGCTCGCTCGCATTCTGAATTTGGAAAATATTTTCACGATCCGCGCGGCCGATCTCTTCGCAGTTATTTGCAGGGGATTACTCACCCCTCGGCGAAAATCCGGTCATATCCGGCGGCTCCGGACGCAGCTCGTGGGACGCAGGTCGATCCGCCGCACGGCTCGACCAGAAGTGCAGAGGTCCCCAGAATGACCATTGATGCGTGATCGCCGGCAAGGTGAGCAGCACACCGACGCATCGCCCCACCGTCGACGGATACGACGTGCCGGCTACCGTGACGATACACAAAACGAATACCCCATGAAAGCGTGAGAGCATAATCGCGCCTGGGGTCACCGATGCTCGCGAAAGACCGCACGCATTCCTGACGGCTCGGCGCAAACCCGTCCGCGAGGACACATCCGCGCCTCAGACACCGAGAGCGGTGCCCACCGACCGACTGTCAATGAGACCACGCGGCGAACAGACCCACGCATCAGGACCCCTCCTTGCACAATATCCCCCGTATACTCCTCCTGATATGTTTCCGCGTGCGGCATGAATTCGTATCGACGCGAAAGGGGACATGTTATAACGGTCACGAACATAAACGTACGTCCACGTGATATCTCGCGTTAGAGAATTCGGTACAAGGAAGAGAGGGGACGCGATTTATGACGAGGAAAGAGATCGTGATGCGAAGAACGTGATAAGTAAAATATTGGTAAATAAAGGAACCTTCAAGCGAGCGTTTAGGTCACCTTGTTTCAATTATTAACGACGGTTTCACATGACGATAAAATGACAAATATATATATGCATATGTATATGTGCGTGCGTGCGTGCATGCGTGTGTGTGTATAATTACTGATCGGTATCATTCATTAAAGACTGACATACTACTTGAAAATGAAATCCTTACTACCCGTAATTGAAAAGTTGTATCAAAAGATAAAAATGTCATCAAAAGGAATTAGTCATCAAAGAGATAGCTTGGGGCATATTTTATAGCTTGAAGTCTTTCCGGAGATATTGGTGAATGTAAACTAATTTTTAACAATGCTGCGTAAATACAAATCAAAGATCAATCAAATCAAAGATTCATCGAAAGTAAACATTTTTGACGAAGTTTGTCGAGTTGTACAATATAAATATCTTACACAAATGGCATTTATATCAATTAAACGCATAGACTTCGTTTTTTAATATACATATTCGCAAATTGCGGTTTGATTTTTTTAAACAAATTATTTAGTACCGAAGCCAAAACCGTTTTTCAGCTTTGACCGTTCACGCTAAGCGAACAAATCGACATTCGCCAAGCAATAAAAAACTAAAAGCTCTCTTTTTAAAACGCATTTATGACATCGTTATTACAGATGCATTTTCAATATAAAATCTTAATCGAAAGATAAGATTGAAAGTTAAACAGTTGTCATTTTTCATTTAACTCGATATATCTTCGCGATAAATGGCGGTAACGCTGCAAGTTTAATATATCTGGAAAAAAGAGAAATTTCAAGCTTTAAAATTTTTACCGAACATCGTCATTTTTACCAATACAGCTGCCACAGCTTGTTGAATTTGTATGATGTTTCGATATAAGGGGAAATACGCCTGACCAGCCTTTAAGTAATACTACTAGATTACTTTAAAAGAGTCTGACGTCTGATCCAGTGGTTGTGTCATACTTCATTTTTTATTTAATATAAAATATGTACAAAAGGTATACAGGGTCTAAAGACTAAGCCAATCCGACTCAATTATTCACAATGTCACTTATTATTAAAGCGCAGAGAATAATTTGAATTTACTATATCGGAGGTAGTGTACATTATCTAACTTACAGGCTATTAACGAGAAAATAACAATCACGGAAATCTATTACAGTAAGAACTTAAGAATAAAAGCACAAGAAAACAGAAAATAGCAGTATTACATATAGTCGGTTAACCAAACAGTTTAAATGGAAATGTTAATCCTTTTTATAAATTTTGATAAATTCCGAAAGAGTATAATTCCTGGTATGTATTACGACCTCTAATTACTTAATATAAAATGTGTACAAAGAGAGTACAAAGTCTAGGGATACCAAGACCACAAATCCTCGGCATGTACGATAGCGGCTCGTGACGGAGACTTTGGAACTAAAAGTCGGTGCGTACACACTCAGGATTCAAGACATGAACCTTCTTCAACTAATATTTATCGATCATTTAGTTGAGACTTAAACCTTCAGTTAGCCGCAAGGTTCAAATTAAATTTTCAAAAATGGTAAAAACAGATGCTAAATTCACGCGTTCGCCCTTACGAATAAAATCATGTAAAAGGTCGTTGTAACAAATTCCTACAAAAGGCATGATATCAGATACTTACGCCGATAATCGATTGATAATTAATATCTCGAAAACTAAGACTAGATGGACTGAGCGCTCAAAGTTCAAATATTTTTCAATTGTAGTTTTACGACTTCTGCAAACAGAACGCGGAAACGCTTGCCGCGCGGCAAGAAGCGATGCAGTAGCCAATAAACTTCTAGTTCTTACGGAAAAACGGCATGTTGATTGGTTACCGCGTCGCTTCTACCGCAGGCAAAGTGTTTCCGCGTTCTATGTGCCGAAACCATTAGCGTATTCAATTGCGTGACGTTCAATAGTGATCACCACGCAATTAAATAGACTAAAACTACTCATGCAGCACAAACTTTCAAAGGACCTCTTAAAGACGTCCATAGGATGTCATGCCCTAATAACGTTCACAACACGTCCATCGGATAATGTGTATTACATGGGCACATTAGATAAAATATTTGACTTATATTCAAACGTTTCATTCAGTTTGTCTTAGTTTTTGAGGCAATAATTATAAAATATACATTTGGTGGTTGACGGACAGCGTGGCGCCACTTAGCAGAGCCGAGCAGGACTATGGAGTTTGCTAGATGGTTTTAGTTGTGGATAATATGGTTCGAGTCTCGAGTGTAAAAGTATGACGTCAACTTTAGTTCCGCAGTTTTCGCTACGAGTCGCCACAGTACTTCGAGGTAAAAGTCGTGAAACGACACAACGGTGTGATCAGACGCCTCTCCTATTTTTCAAGTGATGATACTCAAAGGCTGATAAGACATACTTTTCCTTGTATGGAAGCATAGGCTAAATTTAATCGATTGTAACTTCCATAAAAATGATAGCGGAATGTTTAAAAAAAGATTTTAAAACTTAATGTTTCTAATTTTTAGATATGTTAAACTCGTTACATTAATGTTGTCTATCGCGAAAATATATCGAGTTGAACGAAAGATTGCTACTGTTCTACTTTCACTTTTATCCTTTAGTTCAGTTCTTACAAGTGAAAAGTAATTTTTATCAGGCATACGATAAATACATCTTAAAGAGGAAACTACCAGCTTTTTATTCGTTGCTTAGTGAACCTCGTACACCGATTTGTTCATCTATTATTAGCGATCAAAGACAAATTGCCATTTTTGCTTTGACATTGAATAACTGGATGAAAAAAGATCTACCACAATCTATATGCAAATTAAAGAGAACAGTTCGTACTTTTAAGCTATATATGTTCTATCTGTAACTTTTTATTTAAACGGTGAAACCAACAAAGTATGTTGAAAATTTTGACATTTGACATGTCTCTACTTATACATGCGTAATATAGTAAAAAGCAAGTAAATATTATTTTTGAAAATAGTCCTGAAAATTAGAGACTTCAGTTGCAAAATGAATCATTATTTATGCCAAAGTTAGTTGAATTTTCAGTTTTGGTAAAATAAATTCTATTGATACTCTCTATTGCAATCAGTTACTGTCTCTTCAGCTTCTAATTAAAAGTTAATTAGAAACTAAGAAGCAGCGTGGAGGGAATCTTGCCACGAGATTCCCGAGGATGAAAATATACCTAGATGGCAGCTCGCGTGTTCGGATCGCGCAATACGGACACCTGTCGTTCCCTCGACCCTTTCGCGACCTCGCCGCCGCTCGATCGCCACCTAGTTTTTCCATACGCACACCGTGTCGTCTGCTGTTTTTGCGGCCGCATACCTGAATCCGAATACCTGAACGAATAAAGGGAGGAACGCGCGCAGCGCCCGAGGAAAATGAGGGGTGCCCGGAAAAAAAAGAAAACGTTCGTCTGAACATCAGTCGAGCCTACGGTCAGTCAAAAGGAAACGGAGAAGGAGGCAGCGAGAAGCAGAGAGAGGGAGAGAGAGCGAGAGAGAGGGGGGAAGGGAGAGAGAGAGAGAACTTTACGTCGCTGCTGTTCTACAGAAGCGGTACAGGCATACAGACACCCACACATCTACATGCAACGACAATCGCGCGGAGGAGCGAGTGAGAGAGTGAGTGAGAGCGAGGGAGAGAGAAAGCCACGCGGAGCGTTTACAGTGTCGATGTGTGCGACCAGGTAACTCCGCAAGGAACACTCCCTCTCTCTCTCTCTCACTCCTCGGCCCGTCTCTCTCGCACTCGCCCTCTCTCGCTCGCTCTCACGTTGACTCACACCCTCTCCGGCATATAACCTCAAACCGTCGGCGAGTCCGTGTCGCGTCGTCTCGCTCGACGTCGATCGCCGTGCGTTCTTCGCACGCCAACCGGGTCGCCCGAATGTGCGTGGCGCGGTTCCTCCTGTCGCAGCGGGTGTTCGTGAGTCCCCGGAGTTTCTCACCACATGCGACTTGTAAGTACCTTCTCTCGTACGCACGTAGGTTACGTTCCTGCCGTTACGATGTGCACATACGCGGTGTAAACGCAGACCATAACCAAGAGCCGCGTCCCCGCATTTTTCCGGAACCCCCGGCTTCGTCGAACACGCGAAAATCGTCGATTTCACCACCGACGATCGTGTCGCAATCATCTCCGCGATATCCATCAATGAGATTTCCCTTGACGTTTCTCTTGGTATTTTTCGTGTTTTCTTTCCCGTCTCTCGCGACCGTAGGAATTCGAGGGACGCGTTCCACGGGGCGACATCTTCTCTCGTGTTTCCGTTCAAATTATTCTTGATGGGGAGCGAGGACGCGAAGAAATCGTGCGAAGGGACGCGAACTGCTTCGAGACGCAGCTCGTTCAGGGTGTGAATTGAAAAAAAAAAGAAAGATCGTGGACGCTGCTGCTCCTGGAGGGAGAAACATCTGGGTGTTTTCGTCGAGAAACTTGCCCGACCGGAACGCTTTTACTTTCTCGGTTGGACATGCTCGATGGTACTTTAAGGGGTTCTCGCCTTGCCTTTTGCCCGAAGGTAGGGCAGGTAGAAAAAACGCGCGGAAACTCAGTTAAGCCGCAATTTACCTTGAATTAATATTTATGCCGACGACTCTCGCGCGATACGCGCGTTTCGTTACTTCCTGCGTTAAAAAAAGAGCTTTTGTTTCCCAACCGACCGAACAAGAATGCGGAACGATACGAAAAACTCTTTATTTCAACCGGTTTACTCTCGTTAAGCCCATTTCAGACGATCCATAATTCATCAACCAAAATTCAGAGTGGAATTCTATTCGTAATGCGCCTTTTAATGGAACGAGCATTTTAATATTTATAAGTGTTTATGTATGCGCGTATATATATATATATATATATATATATATATATATAGGTGTATCTAAAATATAGTCAGTCACAAAAAGATTGCAACATTTTTTTCGACGAGTTTCGCATTTCGTATTCAATAAAAAAATGTATTTCTTGAGAATGATTAAAAAACAAATTTTCCTATTGAACACGGGATGCGTTCAGAAATTTATAAAGAAAAAGTGTTGCAACTTTTCTGTGACTGATCATATTGGCTCTCATGATGTATAATCAAATGTTAGAAATTAGAATAGGCCAGAAAGAGCCAAGTATAGTTAAGTGCGAATCTGTTTTTTAATTCGGGAGGATAAGTATGTTCGACAGTGCGATGATGCGCGCGTTCCGACATTTCGTCAGACTTTTTGTGACTGACAATGCAATCTTCAAATTTTTCCACACGAACAGAATTCCGCTCCGAACTCCGTCGTGAGTTACAGATCGTCCAAAGAACGGATTTGGACGCAAGTGATCTTGTTATTTTAACGTTGAAGGCGGTAGTCGAGATTCGCTGAAATTTCTCATCTCGATAGCGCGTGAGCGATTGAACAAATAAACTGATCGAGAACGGGAGCGTTTTCTTCGCAAGGCTGTTGCTCCAAAAATACAATTTCCTCCCAGACTTCGCCGGTTTGCAACGTATTTCTGTCGATTAGCGCTATATAGAGGCGAAAGAGCGCGTGATGGCCGAGAAGAAATGCGTCGTGCGCTGTATCACGTATTGAGTAACGACCGATGGACACAGACGGTACAACGTTCAGATGTTACGTAAGAACACGCTGTTTTGCGCCAAACGTAATAACAAGACTCGCGAAAAAGATAATAACCGCGGAAATAGCCAGTCATTCACACGAATTGCTGATCACGCATGCTGATCATGCATGATCTCCTTGAATTATTCACCTAATGATCGCCGCCCAATGTCCGCTTGTTTAGCTACGTCACTGGTTCTGCCCTTTTCGCGTGTGCCGTCAAGAAGCAAGCGAATACACACACACACACACACAGAAAAAAAGAGAGAGAGAGAGGGAGCTTATTTTATATGTGGAGGGTGTGCCAGAGCCACGGGTGATGTCACAGAGAAAGAGAGATATTCCGACGAATTTGGTATTGATATTTCTTCCTGGAAATTTACGCACCATTATCGCCCCGTGATGAATGTTTAAATAATATTTAAACTGTCACCGTTTTCCCCGCATGCTTTCCGCACGGTTGCTTGTCAGACTAGAGTCGTTGCAATATCGTTAAACGCAGTAAAAATTTCAATGCTTCGTTGTTTCTATTAATTCTCTTTTGATCAGAACTCTGATTTGATAAGATGTTCTGATCGAGATTCACGCGTTGATAAAACATTCCGCCCCACCAAAACGGTGATAATATACTATCACCGAATCTTCGTTGAAGTGTTTTTTTTATTAAGCAGCCAATGTCCGAATTACGAGCTCTCCAACTTCACGGCAATTCGAAGCTGATTCTCGTGCCTGGCCCGACGTATTTTTTCTAACCGTTTTCTAACCGTCCGAAAAGTATTTCGTTGCGATTCCATAAAAAATACAAGATCAACGGAGACTATAAAAAATTATCTAATCGTAAGCGTTCGCGAGTGTCGGCAGCAGAAAGTGAAGTGAAGTGAAAGCAGGTAATTAATTCGCGCAGGAATCAAGTCCGCGATGCGCGAAAAAAAAATAATTTCGAGACTCCGCGGTACCTTTTTTAGAGCACCAAGTTTCGACAAACAGTCTGTTCTTTTCTTTTCAGCTAAACTGGCTGCACTGGTTCAAAAAATTTACGCGTACAGTGAAGCTTATAAGAATCTCGTACGTACGTTTCATATGCTTCAATAAGTATACACGTTTCTTGAGCTAGTGCAACTAATTCAGCTAGAGGCCAAAAGTCAAATATCTGTTCGACCGTTCTCTTCTTTCTCTCTCTCTCTCTCTCTCTTTCTTCCGTTCAATTGTGCTAATATCGAGTTAGAGAACGCGCGATACACAGCGCATGAACTTGGAGACTCTATGAATAAACTATGCGTGTGAGCGCGCGAACGATTTCTGCCGTGAACTTTTTGCATCGAGTATCGTGAGGGAGTTTCTTTCCTCCTTTAACGAGCCGCCACGTGCCAGAGTTTAGGCCAGAGTTCAGTTTAGAAGGAATTTCTTTTGAATAACGGAGGCTCGGCGGAGGATTACCACGCGGTACCACATCTTGTGATGAACGTTAAAAGTTCCTCGTTGCTTCTTCTTCTTCTTTCTGTCTCCCTGAGACTATCTCGCTCTCTCTTTCGCATGCAACACGGAATGAAATATCAGCGGAAGCGGGCTCGCGTGAGGCTTCTGATTCAGGGCCAGTCGTGGGGGGTTAAGTCGCTGGGGTATTCTTCCGGCGCGAAAGGTCGAAGTATCGGTGCGAATTAGCGCGCTGGCATCTCTTAGACGCGATATTAATTAATTATAGGATTAAACTGCGCTCGTGTTCCGAGAATGATAATCTACTCGCTCAACAACCACCAATCTTTTGATCGATGTTTCGTTCGTCAAGCACTGCCTTGTTTTGCTCAAGACCGCCGCTAGGGTTGGGCCGCCAGGGTCGTATTTATGTAGAAATTAAAGAAAAATGTATCCCAACGTGCGCCGAAAGTTCCGTCTTTTATTCCGATTACTTCGCTCGGAGATATTTACTGTCGCATTTTTTAAGTTTTACATTATTTCCTGAATAAAATCTGAAATATTTTGTTCGAAGTTGAATTATTTATATATATTTTTATTTTTTTAATTTTTCCGCCAGAGAGAAGAGGGTTCCGACAGATTCAACATTTGCTCTCGCTCGCTTTCAGTTCCGCGGAAACGAAGTCTATACACGGAAAAAAAAAGTTAGAATTAATTCGAGACTCGTATTCTCATATATAAGCAAGAATATAATTTTCAAACTGTTTTAGTAACTACAATTGTTAGTTTAACGATATCGTTCTTTCTACCCAATATTTTTTCCTCTCAAGAAAATTATTCTTAAGTAATAAGAATATTATATTTTTCGCGGAACTACATAAGATTGCTTTATACAAGCAAGTTTTATCTTCATATAAAATTATATATTCTTGCTTGCATACGAGAGTATAAATTTTGAATTGATGCTAATTTCTTTCCGTGTAACGGCATTATTTTTGGTTCCGGTGAAAGAAACGCACGGGGGGAGGCCTTCTCGTCCTGTTGTCTCCCTCACGTTGAGCCGCCCCTGATAAGCGCCGCCAGTCCTCCTGGTGCCACGTTGTTTGGTGGCCGCGTGTTGGACCTAAGAGATGAAGGGTGTGCGTCATCACCCAGTTTCAGACGTTCGAGTGTGGCAAACTCGTCGTCGCCGTCGTCCGTCGTCGGACCGGCGACTCCTTTTTTTTTTCTTTCTCGCGCGTGCGTGGATCATCACGACGCAATTTTCCTCAACTGATCTACCGTACTTGCTGTGCTCGTCGGGCCCTGAGGGTCGGCAATCCAAGTGCGCGTGTCGAAGGGTGGCCGGATGATCGCGTGTACGTGGGTCATCTCGTTCTTACGCACGATTTACGCGTGAGCGAGCGAGCGAACGAGCGAATGAACGAGCTCCTCTTTTCTTTCTCCGTGTGTCCTCGTTCTTTCGGATTCCGTCGTCATCATCGTCGTGAATGTTTCGCGCGCGGTGCTGCCGGCGCGATTAGCAATGCAAATAGATACCGCGGACAAAAAGTGCGTGAAGTCACGATGTAAAATGAGCATAAATTAAAGATAAACACGTCCCCGCTGGGAACGCAAGTTCTACTACCCGGCTCATGTCGGAGTTATTTGCATCGTCAGATATATTTGAGTAATTTGTTTCTCAGTTAATTACAACGACTCGCTTAGTGCAGGGAGAAAATATCCCGGAAAAGGCTTGTGCTCTCTCTTTCTCTCTCTCTCTCTCTCTCTCTGGAAGAAATCCTTTTTCGAATTCTCGCGTTTACACGACGAAGCGTTTTACGATAACACATTGTTTCTGAGTAGGGGGCGTAGAATTTCACGAGAATTTATCAGTTCCACAAATGTTGTCGACAGCCTACCGATACCCGGTTGTGCAATCGACAAATAACGCGCGCGGGACCGATGATTTAGGGATCGGAGCAATCAGCAGGCTTTGTATGCACGGCGCTTCGTTTACTCTGGTAATGTGAATATCGGCTCTGTATTACTGCAAAATCTTCCCAGCGATCACTGGCGAATCAGCGGACGCTAAACGTTTCGGGCGATTGAAATTTGCGTCCGATTGAATTTTCAGACTAGGATCAATTCGCGTCTAAATTATGGCACATTCGCGCGCAATCGTGGCGACACCGAGACTAGACGACGACGACGACAACGACGCCAGCGCACATCTCTTTTCTTGCGTTTCGTATTAAAACGAACGCGGAAATGACGTCTCGCTTCATGAATATTGCAACACGCGCCAACCATACCTCTGCAATCGGTTACTTTCGTAATCGCTCTCCGGTATTTGTAAGCAATGTCGACGCGTCAATCGCCTTGTGGGCCATTCCCGTTACCGTGACATAAATTAATCGCCATCGCGATTTTTCCGCCGTCGTCTAACGGAAAGAAGGACATTCGGAGGAAGTCTAACATGCCAATAATCGTCATCTTATCGATTCTCGGATAGGATTATTATGTCCCGCAATGCAGGATAGAAGCGATAACCTGATTTATCTTATCGAACATTTAATATATCTGTTTAGTGTAAACTAGAAGGAGGATTTGGTAACAAGTTCCAAAATTTTATTGATATATGTCCACCGAATATTTGATCACTGCAACAACAAAATTTAGTTCCGTATATTGCAGTGTAGTTCTGCACACTGTATGTACAGTATACAATATATATTTACAAAGTTTCTCGAATTATATTGCGCGTCAAATATTTTTCTATCTCCCATATATACTACGACGGGAGAGAAACCGCACGTTCTTTCCGTGAACAATACGGCTAACCGCAATTTCCTAGAAAGATACTTTATCGTTGACATTACTCGTTTAATATTGCATTTTACATTATAGCAATGCAAAAAAAAAACACGGACGCATTTATCTCGATTGGACGTGAGTTTTCGCGCAGCCGAGACACGGGACATTAAGAAAACCATTTGATAAAAAGCCGAACGACAACGCGTAATATATGTACGAGGAGCGATGATCGATATCGTCTAGACGAAACCTTTTGGAGGGTGAATTCGGTGAGAGTTTCCAAGTGTTCAGCGCGCTTTAGTGTTCTACGTTTCCGCTTGACGTTCGATTGTAGCGTCTCATATATGAGAAGACGCGAGAGGGAGGGTTAGAAATAGATACTCTAAAGTGTTTTCTGGCAACATCCGCTGGGGGACTTGATATTTCTCCGGTATGGAGAGCCACGTGGCTACATGGTGGAGCAGAAGCGATACACAGAAGTTATTTTGGCCATTATAAATTGAACAACTCGGCAAACGTGTACCGATCGTCGTATTAATCTCGGATTGACTTGCCGAGGGGTCAGGGTTCACCCTCACCAATCTCTATTATTTTAGGATCAAGGGGTTATCGTACATGTAGATCACGTGTGCTCTGTTTTTCTGTCGTATCTTTAATTCATTCCAATTTCCTTTCGGTTTATTTTATTTTCAAAAAAGGTGCCGCCGTCTCTTCGTCACGGTGTTTGTTTCGCAGTTTTAACCAGCGTGTACGAGAGCGCGTGTCTCACCTCACGCTCACCCGCGTATTACGAGGACTCGGTAACGTGGAAAGATTTTCCAGCGTCTGTAAACCTATTCATTATACTACTTGCAGAGTAAGTAACGTATTCATTATGTATTAATCGACCACCTCTATTCGTTCGTGAACTTCTCGCGGCCTTGACGTGTGACTTAAAAAATACATGGTACAAGTAACTATTTGAAATTACAGCGGGGAGATAGCATACCACGACTTGTCACTCAGTTTGTGCCGAGTGTTTTGTCATCGAGCTACTTACATAAAAATACCCGAGAAATAATCCGAGTCCCGTTTTACGCGTGTTTTACATTCCCGGGTTACTTTCACCGACTCTGAGTAGAGTATTGCAAATACTCGAAGTCGCTTTGTCGCTCTCGTTGCAAAAATAAATATTTCGTGGCATTTCAAGGAGCGGAGATGATAATCGCTGCGATATATGAATTTTTAATGCGACGTATACATTAACGGAAAAAAAACAAGCACGTTACTTAATATACGTCACGACACCTCGTTACTTTTAATTGATAGTTAATTGACACGTAGAGTGACTTAATCATCACTTAATCCGAGATAATATCGATCGAGTTCAACGTCGAGAGACCGTAGACGCCGCAACCCGGATAATATCGGCCGCCTCAAATGAATAGCGTAACGTGTCGCTATTTATACAGACCCACGTTGGACAGATGTGAATGAAAGAGAGCTGACAGAAAATCCGTGACGGTGTCGCCCGCCCGCGCTCGGAATTAGTTCCCTGGTTCTCGTAAAGTCTATGAGCGCGCCACGTTATTGTATTAGCCCGTTAAAAGGAAACTTTTATTGGTTTTTGCAGCGGGTCCCGCGTTCACGATTTACAAACATTGTTGCGAGATCACGCTCGTGGTCTCCGTAGAACGTTGCTTTTTACGATTTAACTCCATTTCGTAATTTTGTAATCTAATTTGCACGAACTTTCTCTCCTTCGAAAAGCGCGTAATTTAAAAGTGTTTCTTTATCATAAGTTTCATTTCCTGCGAGCTACACGGACTTTGGGATTTCCACTCCTTCTCTCTCTCTCTCTCTCTTTTTGTAGATTTGTTCTCTTTGTAGAATGATAGGTCAATTTATTTACCGATCACGATGTACACGCGTCCTCACGTTTCCACATGAGAATTCCAATGTAATCACTATATAACAATACATGGTATGCGATAAAACGGAAAGCGATATGACTCGTGATGTGGAGTATATTTAGATGGAGGACGGTTTATCGGTGTCGATGGGTTAGTCACATATCGAGTCTCGTCCGCGACCGTTCCCCATCGATTTGTGTGGGAAATTTCTAGCGGGAGCGGAGTCGCTTAATACTTCTTAACTTACTTCGCTCGACTTATGAGCGAGCGAGCAAGTGAGCGAAATTATTGTTTTCCGTAAATTTTTCAGTGTTCGCTTTCGCCGCGAACATGCGCGAAAAGTGAACGCGTGTAAGTCCTTATCGTACCAACATGTACACGCGCGTCGGGGAACAATTTTCGAATTAACACTTTTATTAATAAGTTCGTGCCTCTCTTTTTCCGGTAATTATTCAATTTAGGAGAATCGGCTCCAATAGTTTCAATCTTGAGATACGTTGTCAATTTAATACTTATATATAAACATTTTGTTGTGGGGCTGTGTGGCAAAACCTCATGTACTCTGCGTAGGAGCCTTTGTTAATATTCTTAGAATCTATTTACTAACTTAGTATAGACTCATCAATTTAGTGAGACGAAAAATTTAAGCATCATTAACTGGAACAACTTCTATTTCAACTTAAATTTCTTTTGTTAAGCCTCCGGAATAGACGCTCTGACTCTTCTCGTTCAATTACGTCAGAAGCCAGAAAGCGTGTGCCAAGATTTTTGCGTTCAAATAAAACTTTCAAATAAAACGATATACACTGAGAAAAAGATTTCTTCGAATTTAATAAATTTTATTGTATCTAAACAAATTTCATCATTGGCATGCTCCAAAGAAACTAATGTTTCGATTAATAAGTACGATTAGTTACGAAGTTAGATCTTTTTTCAACGAATATGTATATTTATCTTAAATAAAAAAATTGTTTGAAACGAAAGATAATTTTCTTATAAAGAAATTATTTGTTTCATTTTACATATTTGTTGTAACTAAATAATATTTTATTTGGTTAAAAGATGTTATTTCAAATAATAGCGTTCTTTCTGTTAAATAATAGAGTTTTTTTGAACGGGACAATAACATTTTTATTCAAATAAATAATATTTTGTATATGTTTCTATGAAACAAATTTAGTCAAATAAATAGAAATACTAAATCTAAAGAAACCTTCTCTGTGTACCCACAAAATGACATTTGTAATCGATTCAACAAACTTATAAAATTGGACGAACACTTTTCTTTTTCTCCTTTTACTCGAGCGATCAATAAATAGTCGTAAAAGTAACATTGAGAAAATCATGAGAAAAGAGAGTTGGAAAAGAAGGTTCCGTGTCAAATTAATTTTGCGACTATTTGTTGATTGTACGAGTAAAAGGAAAGTGTTTGTCCAATTTCGCAAGCGTGCTAAATCGATCACAAATGTTATTTTGTGGATATATCTTCTTATTGGAAAGAATAACGCAAAAAACCTTGGCGTGCGTTTTCTCGCTTCTGACGTCATTAAACAAGGACAGTCGCAGCGACTACTCCGAAACCTTAATAACTTTTTTTAACAAACAATGAGAGGCAGCTAAAACCTACAATAGGTTACTTAGAACCATGACTTCAACAACATACGTTTAGGTCAAGGCCGTTGGAGCTGACTCCCCTGAACAGAATAATTACTCTCCTTCCTTTTTCAATTACGTAACAAACCGAGAGAACAAAATAAGTGCAAATTTCTTCAGAATTTTAAATTTTTCGAGACGCTTCCGCAAGGTGTGCGCAATCTTCCGGGGTTCTCACGCTTGCGATTTAAAACGTATGTTATCGACGTGTGTGGTTATAAACGTGTATTATTATGTTTTGACGCGAGATCGGACGCGTTGTCCAATTAACACGAGCGGCAAACAAAGCGGTAGCTTCACGAAGCACACGGATTCGAAACGCCGTGCGAATCGACAACGGTCTTTGCGCTCGAGATTGGTGATGTGTGTCCACGATTCTAAAATCTGACGTTATCTGTCTCATCTGCGTGCCTGCATATATATATTCCTTTTCTTTCTTTCCAGCCAGAATCCGCTGTATATGATGAAAGGGGCTTATTAGTATGCTGGATAAGCGGCGGCTTCATGCCTCCGGTACGTCGCCATGCACCCTCATCTTCGTGGTCGTTTTGGCACTAACTGGATGCGTCTCGTTTTGGATCCATATCGATGGCTCAGGATCGCCGATACCGTACTCAGGCGTCGGTGTGGCCGCGCCCGGGTATACCCTTATATATCCCGGCAACGTCACCACGCTGTCGCCGCAGCCCTACTCGATAAACGAACTTCCGTCCGATGACAAATCCACGCTAATCAACATCAAGGACTTCAGGTTTACCATCAACCACAGTCCGTGCAATCGCACGCAGCCGTTGCTGCTGATGCTGGTGCACTCGGCGCCGGAGAATTTTCTCAAGAGGCACGTCGTACGGGAGACCTGGGGTCAGCAAACGCCGGACGTGACTTTATTATTTCTCGTGGGACACTCGGCGAAGTATCAGTCCAAGCTCGAGGAGGAGAACAAGAAATACCAAGACTTAATACAGGGAAACTTTCTCGATGCCTACAGAAATATGACTTACAAGCACGTTATGGGATTAAAGTGGGCTACTTATTATTGTCCAAGTAAGGGCCTTCGATTTTTCTCCTCTCACGATATCTCGTATATCTCGGCTATATTTTCCCTTTCTTCCTCGATACGGTTGCAAACGATATCGGGAACTGTGAAAACCCGATAACGTCGACGATCGGGTCGATTAAACGTCGGATTTGATACCGGAACGGACCGGCAAAGCCCGAGAGTAACATCGATGAGCCGCGTAGAGTGGTTTTGTATACTACTATTCGTGTATCTATCTCGCTCTATTATAAGAACAGATATACGAGCTTTAACCTTGCTTTGTTCATGCGTCACTATGACGCTCGTAACATTATTTGTGCGGCACACACACACACAGGTTGACACACTGTTATCGTCTCATTTTTCTTTTCTTTTCAGGTGCCAAATATATACTTAAATTAGACGACGACGTTTTCGTTCATTTACCGGCCATGCTGGACTTTCTCACGCATGACCTGTCGCCCTGGGGTGCAAGACGTCTGATTCTCTGTGATCTTCTGTCGGCTTCCGCGGTAAAGAGGTCCTGGCGCTCGAAATGGCGGGTCTCCCCCCAGGAGTACCCCGGTAGACTTTATCCCGCGTACTGTGCCGGATGGGCGATCCTCTACTCGCCCGATAGTGTATTTATACTGTACCGTGAGGCCCAGAAGGAGCCGTATTTCTGGATCGACGACGTGCACATTACCGGGACACTGGCTAGGAAAGTAAATCTAACGCAAACCTCACTACACTCTTGGGTGTTGACGAGCAAGAGCATGCGGGACCTGCTGTCGAAGCCGGGCGCCCGACGGGATTTTCTGTTCGGGCCTCCGGACTTAACGGAGAGCGGAATACGAGCCTTACATAGTTTGGTTACTAAACCACGGCCTAGCAGCGAAAGCCTATTGAACTAACGTCTAATAGAACAATTTCGTTTATATGTAATATCGGTCACCGCCGTAACCGCCGCGACCGAGTCACAGGGTGGGAGATGATATCGAGGCGCGAAGGAAGCGAAGCGGTCGAGCGGATTCAGCAGGACGCGCTCTCTGTGCTACTTTCCGCATATGATATTAATTCCGCATCAGTACGCCCCGCGCAGATGTCGTCGTTTTCGACACGTTTCAGCGACGGTGTTCGATTATTAGCACAATGTACAAACGCCATGCTACGCATAATATGTGACATGATGGTGCGTTACGCGACACGTGTGTTGCGCGCAGTGAACGCGCATGCGTGTGCGTAACAGACTATTGTGGTGTGAGATTTCGTCTGATTTCTCGATATTATTTACGTCTCGATATTATTACGTCGGATCACTCAAACTGTTTACTTCGGTTTCTACTCGCTCATCTAGTTTTTAATTTTAAGCATTCGTTCCGCCTTTAAAAACGTTATTCTGGACTGTGTTATTCAACATAATCGGGGCTCGTGAGCGCGAAAGTTTCTTTTAATACTCTTTTCCTTCAGAACGTCGGCGTTGTGTTACTTTTATGCCGTATAGTATTTTCTGAATCTCCGATTATTCGAGCGACCGTCGCATCGCTGCACGGAAGTGAGAATAATACGTCACTTGGTACTTTTCATCCGTTTTCTTGTGTATACAAAATCGGTGTAGAACGCACATGTACGCACGCACACATAGCTTATGAGAGCACACGAGACAGCTCACGAGCCCTGATTATTGCAATTACACAAATCTCAAGGTGAATCTCAAGAGGTCCGTTTATAGTCCAGGATACGAATTCGTTGCTAAGAAGGGAGGAGAAAGAGAGATCGGATATTTTTTTATTTACACTTACGAAAATGCCAACGGTGCGAAGGTGTTTTAGCATTAGTACATATTAAAGACGGCGAAATTATAACGCGAAACTTACCGTGCATCTCGCGCGATCGAAATGTCCTTCCTCTCGCGACGACGACGACCACGATGATGACGGATATGCGAGGAAGGGAATGTTGATTTTAATCGCGCCAATTTTCCCGTCAGTCGCCGACAAGCGAGGGGCGGGAGTCGAGGGGGAGGTTCTCGTTCTCGCGAAGCCACACTTGTGAATGTACTTAAATGTAATGTAATGACGGACAAGTTTATGATATTACATTGTTACGCAAAGAAGCATTAAAACGAATCGAATTAATACTGTTACGTAGCAACAAGTACAACCCCGAAACAAGGGTCCACTCGCAACTAGATTACAGAGATCGCTGATATCTGTCCGTGTTTTTGAATGTCTATAGATTTTTTATCCGTGAATCCGTTGGATTAAATACCCCGATTGTTCCGGTACGATGAGGGAGGAGTATGTGCCTGCAAATTGTACTAAAAAGAAAAGAAGAAAAACGTGCCGAGCGCGAAGAGACGGTCGCGCGCTAGCTCTTAGTTAACTGGCGATTTCGTTAGGATCGATGTGACGTCGATGTGACGACGAATAACCATAACCGGTGTAATGTCACCTCGCATACTGTACTGTGTCGCGTTTTCTATCTCTGAGATACAACGAATGCGTCTACGTCTCCACAAGGAGACACATACACACACATACACACCCGCATACATACGAGATTCTAGCTCGCCGCAAAAAGCGCGACGCCCCACCGTTCGAGGCCGCATTTTCTCTCTCTCGCGATCGCGCGCACGCGATGAAACGGGNGGGGGGGGGGGGGGGGGAGACGAAGCATACTCGGGCTCCGCCGTCGTTACTTCAAGTACGCCAAGCGAATTATGATCGTGAACAGTGAACGATGTGTTCGCACTCGATTATAGTCGATAATACGATCCGGTGGCTGTTAGTTACTGAATACGTCACATACGCATTGTCTCGCTCCATATGAATATTCTCAAACTTTTTTACTCGTGTACCGTCGTTCAATTCTGTTCTTTCCTTTTTTATTTTCCCTTCATGTAGAGAGAAGAATCATGCTCATCGTGTGTCATTGTTTCGGGATGGAAGTATCTCTATTGCGACGTCGTCAACGTACGAGATTGCGTAGCATAATATAACATAATCTTTGTGATGAAGTAAATACTGATAATTTCAATAAACGATGGATTATTTCAATTATACACGGTGTACCTCTTCATTGGCGCTTACTTTTTTGATTAATTCGCGCATTCGTGCAATCTTCTTTAGCGATCGTAAGCGACACACACAGGGTGGCGAAGAGAGTACACAGAGAGGTAGTCATATAACGTACAATCGGATATATATATACTTTATTGGTCCAGCTCTGTTTAACTACTGTAGAACTATTTATAAAACTTTACAAAATGCTCAACGTGTTGCAATATAGGGGAACCTTGCTTAGATATATTTACAAGGCAACGGAGTTTTTGCGACGCGACTTCTACGGATCGATTGACGACAAGCTGTTGCACATTAACGTAATTATCGCAGGTTCCTTTCAGCGTTTCTCGGTTACGATCCTCTCGTGATATATTTCTCGGATTAAGACATATATTTTCTCGTCGTAAACACAACGCGATTGTGCAAATACCTCCTTCAAGCTCGGGCGTTGGTCTAACTAGATGGAGTCGTTACGTGAGAGTAATCTTCGTAAACAATTCGGGTGTAAAAACTCAAAATGCTGTACAACATCGCGAGGCACGTTTAACCCTCCGCGTATCTGTCCTACGCGCAATTATGTATGATTTCCGCGTAAAATGATAATTTTTATTACAAGCGGTAATTCATCAATGGATTAAATTGCCTAGCCACCAGGTTCCGGTCTGCTCATTCGATCGATTATTGCGTTAACTGCTGAAATAACGTAATTACAAAGTGCATGATTTCGTATTATATATTGTGCGAGAGCGAATGTATCGCGAGGAATTCGGAAACGATTGTTTCAGGGCGACGATAAATTTACGCGAATAATTGCGTGCATATAATTGCCGGGACCGGGAAAAGTCTTAAGACATTATTGATCGGTCGTTTGGTAAAAGTAAAAAGGTACGCGAGAGCCGTGAGATAATTATGAGAATTCCTAAGTCACGAAGAGATATTGCGATATGACGATGTATTTAAGCGAAGTCACATACGTCTTTATTAAAATTATTTACAGTCCGACGTGAAACTATCTGTCTACGTGTAAATTCGTTAACGATCCCGATTTAGTGATTTTTTGGGGAAATTAGTTGAGAGAAAAAGTGTCTTCCTACATCGTTTATAAATGCCCCGACGCGAACACGAGGACGTCCCGGCCTTGCTCGCGTCCGGCAAAGTCCGTAAAACGACACGTGCGGTTTCTCAGTGCGTTCAACCATTGAAAATCGAGACTCGATTTTATCCTATAAAAATTGGCAGTATATAAACAATTCATCACATCAAAAGTTAATATGTATATATATCTATACATATATATATATATACATATATATATATAGTATACGTGTTAAAAAAGATTTCATAACGAACGTTAAGATTGGTGACGTTTACGTTGATCCTTACAACGTTGAAGCAAAGAAATCGGAGGGGGAGACTCCGTAACGTTATAAACTACAACTCTTTTTTTTTTCTCTTTTCTCTTTACGTTCCAACAAACTCGCCGCCTGTGATACGCGTCGATAATTACGTCTAATAGAAATGGTTTTGCTCTAACGCAGGGACATGTCCCACATTCCGCACAATGCACGACTGTACTCGTATCACTATGGAGCCCGCACATCGTGAAATCTTCATCCATGGTGTTAATTTTTTTCTCCACGGACAAAGATTCGACGTATCAACGCGATGCATTTCAACACAATGGAATACGAGTGAAAAAATGTATGATTGTTGAAAAATAAAAAAACATTGGATCGACAAAAGTGAACGGAACAGGGAAAAGAGAAAGAGAGAGGGAGGGGGGGGGAGGGGAGAGGGGAGGGGGAGATTCAATTCTACTGTACGTTTTTTCGGATATTAAGCTATTAAAGCTCACATAGGTAGACCAGTGCTCCGAACCTATTTCCAATTATCGTTTTTTTTACTAATCTTACTGGTCCAGCCATGAGTTTTAATAGGTTAAACGACGCAATTTGGTGTCCGAAACTGAAATTTGGCCCCGTGTATCGCGCATCTACCTCCGCCCTAACAGTTCCAATTGTCTACTACGGTGTTTCGTTCATTCACGACTCTGTAAACTTGAGAATTGAAAACTAGTAACGTACGAAGAATAAAAACGCGTAGAAAACGTATAACATCTAAGGGGATCTGTGCTACGATCTCTATTCTGATATCATCTTTCAAAGATGTCGTACGACGTCGAGAAACTTGCGAATCGTAAATTGTCCCATTCGTCGTCGGGGTCGATTGATCAACGTGAGGCGACGCGTGTCAATTCAAGGGAATTTCATTGCGCACGATGGGAACTCCTCGGTGATAATCGCTCACGAGTTATCACACCAGTGGGCGAATATCAAGATTCGCGACCGTCGTCGCCGGTAGATTTTCAGCGACACTTCCGCGTCTCCCGACTATCCGCGTCGCGACAGATTCGATTACGATCTACGGGCTACGTCACTACTTTCTTAAGGTCAACGATTACCTCTCGCGATACTTTCTACGTTACTTTATTTTATTTCCTTTTTCACTAAGATCGATTGATCAGCTGCGCGAAGAAACGTTATGGGAAATAGTTGGTTTGCGCCGGTGCGTAACGATTAATTTCGACACGAAGGTGTACGTATGTCTGTCACGCACGCACGCACGCGCGCGCGCGCACGCACACACACACACACACACACACACATACACACACACACACACACGGCAAAGTAGGAATAATCGAGTTACCGCCATCGTCACCCACTTTGCTAGAAACGTAGAGCACTTAATATTCAGGTACTAATTATGTTATCGTGGAGTGTGTGAAGATTCGATTACTTGACGCGCACGTACGCGACAGCAATAGAGCCGATACCTTAATAATAACACGGCTAATGCGGTGGCTAAGAGCCGGGTGCGATAATGCGCCTCATAAACCGCCACGCGCTTCCTCAAATCGGACGCGAAGAAGCGTCGAGAAGCGCAAGGATGGTTACCTTGCTACTCGAACGTAAGTCTCAATTTCGCGACGTCGGGGACGGCGTGAAGATCGACTCGGGAAAGCGAGCGTGAATCCCGTTCACAGTCGCGAAGCCGAAGATCCCCGACGCGAGAAATTGGCGTCTTCACTGTAAATCCAAGTGTGTTCTTTTTACACGCACAAACTCGTCTCAAAATGACACATTTGACCGAAGCTATTTTTACATGCTTTTTGCCGATTTAGCTTACGCCATTTAAAACGTTTAATCGTGTTAAATTAATGCATTAAATTTCGACGTATCAAGTTAATACGTTCAATCGTGTTAAATGACGTGATTTCAAACGGCAAGACATGTGTGAGAAATGTGTAAAAAGAGCTTCAGTTAAAGGATTTGCAGTGCTCGCGCGAATCCAACGACCCGTCTCGCGCGAGTCCTGTCAATAATTTCATCCACCACCCGCGGGGGACGATGATCTCTCTCTCTCGTCCGCGTTTTGACATCGTGACTTCGCGGGTGCTCGCTCTGGTAATGTCCGCGGTGCTTTAAATCTTTATCAATATTCAACGATTCGAATCTCCTACGGCGGCATTTCCGGAGACCAGCTCCGTGCGTCATACATATATTTCCATCTATCGAGAAACATAACGACGGGTGCGGTTGAGATCCGTATCCTCAATCAACGTACGTGTGTGTATATATAAACGCTATTTTTTTCTTCCCTCTCGCAAACACACGATAGGGAAGATATCGATCTGCCGGCGTGTAATACGCGATTACTATTCGCGCCCGGCTAATCGCACAGTCAACGACAAAGTAGCCGCTGATAGGCACGAGCTGTCTCGCGCGAATTTACATCAAACCTCGCTTCACACGTCGCTCGAGGTGCACGATGCAAGTGACGAGGCATGCCTAAGAGCCAGGAAGTTCCAATTTGACGGAGTACCTGAGCTATTCCTTGCTTGGCACATGACGAAACATACACACAGACACACACACGCGTATTTGAACATGCATACGCGTGTACATAACGTACTCCTTGACTCTTAGAGCGCTAACCACGCCTATAGACGGTTCGACGAAAGTCTCATTTATTAACGTCAACGTAACGAGCGAAAGCGCTGCATCGCAACGACCAGCGTTAACTCCGCGCCCCCCGGGAAAAAAAGGATGTATGAAATGTATGAAATTTGCCCGTATATGACTATATATAGTCATATATACCCACAACAGGAAAATACTGTTGTTTACAAATTATATATGCAAATACAATGGAAGTAAATGCTTCGGACAGCACATGATATCGACATTTAATTAAACGACGTAACATGTCATTTTTTTTTCATATAGAATCATGTATGTAACCACATTTATGGGCAAAATTCTTATATAATTTTATATAATTATACATAATCATATATATCGTAATCATTTTTTCCCGGGTGCGCACGACGACCGTCTTGTTTTCAGCCACACTAAGGCGACCGTGATAGCTGAGAAATGGCTGAAAAATGGCCCGTTATTCCAGGAATTATTCTGCGATCTACGTGACACATCAGCCAGATATCTCAATTTTCTGCACATTTCACAGGCTTCGGGATTACGAAACCATTGTGTTTTTTTTTCAGGGAAAACTAAAAAACAAAGCTACATGCTGCAAGAAACTTATTGCACGTCATGTCTGGCCTATGATATATACGGCACAAAACCAATACAGCTACCCGAGAGAGCCGAGAGCCTTAAGATCGCAAATCACTTGTCTAATGAATAACTTTACACACCAGGACGTATGCCTGGAACGCCTGGACACATCGTTGTCCGTGTCCCGGCGTTCTGCTTCCCGATTCGGCATCCTGGCCGTCCTCCCGTCGTGGTACTCCGGATATTCACTTGTGGCACTGACACTCGCGTGAATATGACGATTCAATCAGAGAGATACATGACAACGTAACGTAACCGATTAGATATTTTAAGAACCGACAAAATTTTACAACTTTAATCATTCAACGGGAATAATGAGCGATCTGTCGACACGCGTGCTCAACAGTGCAGTAATGCCGTTCGATTCCGTATGGCACGGTGATATCGGAAATTCCGAGTCAGGTGTATCATTTCTGAATATTCGGGCATCATTACTGCTGATTATTCTGCGAATCGACAAGGATACTCCGAAGCAGCAGTCATTATGCACGAATATTCAGAAATGATGCGACTAATTCGACATTTCCGGTATCGCTACGCGCGGGAGGGAAATCCACTAATGCACGGCGGTGTGCGCGAGTCGGCCTACATCTCGACACAACTCCCGGCAAAATCTGTAACGTACGAGAATGTATTTGACCGTCTCGAAGGTCCCGCGTATTTTGAAAGTGTTGCTTGTCGCGATCCGCACAACCGTTGGCGGGTTACGACGTTTGTCGATTCACGGGAAGAACGTAACATTTTTTGGCCATTGTTACAGTACTCTCACGCGTCGCGTACATTTCGAATTGGCGAGCAACGAACAAATCGCGACGCAAGATATGTGCGTCGGTGCGTTATATGCAAAGAACGAAAAATATGAGAGCTCTCGGAGGTAAATAATCAGGGTAAAACTGCCGAATAGTGGGAGCATCCCCCTCCCTCACCCTCCAGTAACCTTGACCTTGATATGTATGGTAGAAATCACCCTCCCAAGTAACCTTCCGAAGGTTTTACCCGTCGCTCACTGTTCATTAAAAAGATATTAACAAAAGAAGTTCACAATCAGCAGTTTACAATCAGTACAAACAGTTTACAATCAACGGAAATACGTTACGCGCATCCACTCACAGGTGCCTAGAGTCTTTCCGTTAGACCACCAATTAAAAAATTTTTATATTAAATTAGCCAGTCACCTATATGGGCTGCTCGCCCGTTTATAAAGAATTTCTACTAAACACTTGTTATATATAACTGTGTTATAACACAGTACACTGTACGGGAAAGTTTTATTGGCAAAACTTCCTTCGTTAATAACTTTTTAATGAACAATGAGCGACGGCTTAAACCTCCTGTAGGTTATTCAGGAAAGTAATTTCTACCATATATGTCAAAGTCAGTGAGAGCAGGTCCCCTATTCAGTATTTTTACTATAATTTACTATAATCAGTAAGAACGATAAGTTAATAAGAGCCGTTGTTGCGCGAAATTGTCAATCTTGGTGGGATGATAAAATTGCCCGACAGTGTGACGCACGCGCCGAACTTTTTTCCCAGACTTTCAGCGGAATGGTATTGTGTACTAACCGTCTTTCCACCGTCGAACCGACCCTCTTAACTCGCAATTAATACTCGTGCCGATGAATAACTCTTTAAAAATCGGACCTTGTAGACTTTGACAATATTCAACGCCACACTATACGCAACTTAAACACTATTTCTGTCTCAAATATTCCGTAGACTTTTGACATTTTTAAAGAGACGTTTGATATTAATTAATATCTGTGTCTCTGGTCGACTAGTCATGATCACGCGAGTCTCAGTGCCACGGATTATTATCCGTCATGACGTAACGGTCAAAAGCGGCTTCTCAATGAATATCAACTAACAGTAACATAACATTAATAATAACATCAATATTATAATTTCCACAACGTAACTGTTGCATGATACACTCAGTAATGTAACTAATATATAATGCACGCGTTATATTGGATTTACATTATCGAGTGAAAAATTATAACGTTGATGTTATGTTACTGTTAGTTAGTTAGTGTTCACTGGAAATGTTGCACCAGGTCAGGAAGGAGGAAGCCCCTGGCAGCGATGCATCATATATATTTCCAGATGTATATATATATATACGAGGGCGGTCCGATAAGTACTTAGCCTACAAAAGAAAAACGAAAATTTTGGAAAAGTGGCGATTTATTTCTCAACATAGTCTCCTTTTAGCTCGATACACTTGACCCAACTTCTTTAACCCATCTAAAAAATACGTTTTCTCGAAGTCTGCAAAGTACGTGGCGGCGATGACCTCGGCGAAATTGGTCGAATTGGACTACGAACTGCTGCCCCATCCACCGTATTCTCCAGATTTGGCCCCGTGCGACTTTTTTTTGTTTCCAAACTTGAAAAAGTCACTCGCCGGGCAGAAATTTGAGTCGAATGAGGAGGTCATCGCCGCCACGGAGGCCTACTTTGCAGACTTCGAGAAAACGTATTTTTCAGATGGGTTAAAGAAGTTGGAGCATCGCTGGGTCAAGTGTATCGAGCTAAAAGGAGACTATGTTGAGAAATAAATCGCCACTTTTCCAAAATTTTCGTTTTTCTTTTGTAGGCTAAGTACTTATCGGACTGCCCTCGTATATATAAACGGCCCCACTTTCTTAAATATTCGACGCAATATTGTCGATAAAATGAATCGTCGAATAAGTTTTTAGAAGAGACGCAGAGAAACTGCGTCTTGTTTCTCCCGCCGTTAAAACGTTCGAGATGAACAAAACCATCGTTAGTCGCACCTGGCGGCCGAAACTTGCTCGTTTCGCGGCCGACCTCGTCGTTCAGTTGCATTTAGCCGGTCGCTCTTCTCCCGCATGGCAGTAAATACTTCAACTAACGTATCTCAACACGATAAATACTTGGCTAGACGCGCGCAATACGATTTAATTCGATCTCTATTCTCGATGTAGACTAATACAAACTTCATTACCGATGCTCAGCGTAGTCGATCGTTTCCTAGCAGCTATTACAGTAGGAAAGGAATGTGTATGGGGACGCCTCTAGAAGAGGGATTGCTCCGTCTATAATTCTTTCTGGGTTTACGACGCGCGGAGTATTCTCCTCACGCCCTGCGCGTCATTATTCCTTTTCTTCTTTCTTCTCCGCGGCCACCATTTTACTTTCCGCTTATGCCTGCAACTGCGCACAACGCACTTTTACGCTAATGGTCCCCCAACCTTCGTAAAGAGCGACCCTAAATTTTCCGGAAGATTACGGCTATATACGGCGCTTGACAAAAGCGAACCAGGAAGGAAACGGAAGCGCGACGCCGGAAAGGATGTAACTGCGCGACGATGCGCGACGTAATGGCAACAACAACACGTAGAGAGACCGCACGTAGGAAGCGTGCCCGCGAGGAAATAAATCGCGCGGGAAAATTGATATCCGCGGAGTTCCGAGAGAAATCCGTGCGGGCTCCCAATGGCAGCGACGCGACGACGCCCCCCTCCGTCGCTGCCGCGAAATAACGAAAACTTTGGCCGCGACAAAGTCCGCAACTTCGCCCGGCCGCGCACTTCCGTCGACCTGACTCGCGAGGGTCGCGGGGTCGGGGCACCGTCTACACGCTGGTGGTGATCTGCTCGATGACGGTGATGTCGCGGTGCCGGCGCGCTCGGCTCCGATACGGGTCCTGATGGCCGAGGCCCTCCGGCACGCTCTTGCTGGGCCTGAGGGGCGCGTGGAACTGATGGTGGGGGTGGTAGTAGTGCTCGACGTCGTGCACCCGCTCGAAGTCCCGCTCGCGCATATTGTCCTCCACCACGTCCAACGGCACGTGCAAGGACTGCGACTTGGGGAGCCGGGGCCGCGGCGGTGGCGGACAGGCGCACGGCGGCGGCACCACGCCGAGGCTGGAGAGCCGCGGCCCCGGTAGAATCGGCGATGCCGGTTGCCGGCCCCAGCCGACCAGGAAGAGCAGGGCAGCGCCGCACAAGGAACTCAGGGTGCACGCGTAGTAGCCCACCCGCGGGCTGCTCTCGTTCATGTAACCTGCCGAAGGTGTGCGCGCGTTATTCCCAGAGCTCGTGTGCAACGGGGAGAGGGGGAAGGGCAAGAGTCGAATCTATTTCCTTGTCTTATACGCGTCGCGCGGACAATCAGGTTTGGAATTCCGCCGGTTAAGAATTTAAGCCTCTTTACCGAAACTTACAGCTCTGGTAGCGCGCGCGCTCTGGTAACACGCTCCAGTCGCTTGCGAGTACGCCCGGCGGCGTAGTTGTCACATTTCCTTAAATATTCTCTCGGAAACCCGCGGCTAAACTGGCGCATTTCCCGGGCCCCGTGTGTGTGTGTGTGTGTGTTGTTATTATTATTAAGGACACCGTCGTTAAATTCACATGAGAGTACCGTAAGACTATTAGAGAGGGACGGATTTTTAACAAGGACGGGAACAGGATTTGTCCGCGCGTACGCGCGCACACACACACACATATACACACCTTAGTCCCGTGCAACATTTTGAACGCGCGAAAAACTTGTCTCAAAGGGAGCATCTGCGAATTTTCGATACGCGCGTACTGGCTTATCGAAATCTCGCGTGGAAAAGATTTTACGTACTATTTTTGTCATCGAGCGAGTGCAAAATTCAATCTCGCGAGCACGAACGGCGTCCGCGTCTACGTTGTACGGAGAAAAAGGTTTCTTTGGATTTAGTTTGATTCAAGTTTGTTTAATGTAAATAACAAAATTTAATATCATACATCATTTTGTTTAAAGTGTTGTTTCACTAAAGTGAACCATGTTGTTTGAACGGTATTATTTAAGAAAAATAATATCTTGTTTTCAATACGAGGTACTATTTAATATTTTACATCGCGCAAAATTTGAGTATTTTTCACCACTCCCTCCCCTTCGTCACAAAGTTTGGACCCTCCTCCAATATTACGTGACACGTGGAATTGTCCCTCGCCCTCATCCGCCGACACATAGAATAAAAAAAATAGCTTATGACCCTCCCTCCCCTCGCAGTGTAACATAAATGTTGAATGACCCCACAAAAATTCCATTTTATTACGTATTAAATATTGTTCCGCTAAACCAAAAAGGTTCTTTAATATTTCTCTAACATAATGTAATTTCTTTCAAATAATTTACTGCTCACAACCATTGTAATGTTTGGATGAAAATATAAAAGAAATGTATTATTTGACATTTAAGATAGAAAGATATTTATTGTTTGAGAAACCAAACAAAATCCTGTTTGTTGAATCAGACATTCGCTTGTTCGTTCTATTCCAAAAGACAAATTTGTTTCAATTCAAGAAACTGCATTAAATCCAAAAGAAATCTTTACCTCTGTGTACACGCGCACGGGAAAGATAGATTCGGTTTCTGCAACTGAATACGCTGGAAAAAGGATTTAGTAATAAATACTAAAATTTGGTGAATATTTGCCGACCAAACATTTAATTACCGCAACCAAATGTTTTAATTCCGCATACTATATATACATTACTGTAATTCCGTATATTACATATTTAGTGTACGGAACTAAGTTATTTGGTTACAGTAATCAAATATTTGGTCGGCAAATATTCGCCAAATTTTAGTAGTTATTACCAAATTCTTTTTTCAATGTAGAGACCGGATGAAAACTCAGTGACAAGAAACGATATCTCTGTTACCGCGACTGAGAGACATTCGTGTTGATATTCAGGTGCATTGGAACTCGGTTGGGATACGACTGAGAACAATTGACCGAGAGAGGGAGAGAGAGAGAGAGAGAAGGGAGTATAAGCTCTTGCAGGTATGTTTCTGTTCTGTTGCAACGGAGTTTCCATCTGGTCCTCGGGAAACCGGTAAAATCTAGTTACACCAATGGAATTGTTTTTTTCCGTACGGCGGAGTTCGCAGCAATTGCCGTACTACAAAGAGGAAAATATCGATTTCTCGTCACTGATAATTGCGCCGCTGTTATTAGGTGCAACTTTTCCCAACGCTTAACTTCTCAAGTGTCTATTTTCCAAGTTTCCCGCGAAATGTCCATAATCAAAGTTCGATTCCTACCGCAAGCGCGATTTGTCGCGATAGCTCGTGAAGAAATCGGGGGAAACGAGAGTTCTTCCCGAGGAAGTTCGCGTTCTCTGACCTGTCGTACCTGTGAGAGGAACTCCGAGTAGAATCGGTAGAGCTTCCGCAGCTTGTACCAGAGCCCACGACCTGGCGAAGTGTCTGGCCCGCAGTCTTTCCAGAGCCAACATCTTGAGGGAGTAGAGCGCGCCGCCGAGAGAAGCGCCGTAAAGCCCGGAGGCCAGTACAAGTCCATGATATCCTTGTACGCTACCAAGCGCCACTTGAGCTATGGCTTTAAGCAGAGAGGAGAACCTAATTCGAATCGCTTGGTCTCCTCGAGAAGGAGCGATCTTCGGGTCTATACATCCGCGAGTTGTTCGGCCGCGAAACTCGAGCAACCAGAGTTCGCCTGAGCTCGTCGTTATACACGAAACTCCGGATTTATCGGGCGAAATTTACGAGTCGATAACGTCGTGTCGTCTCCAAATTGGAGTAGTTCCGATGATAATTTTGATTTCTTCATGATACTCCCGTGAAGAAAGAGTCGACGGCAAAGTAAAGAGCCTACCTTACAGCCGAAAAGATCGCGCGCGTGAAATAAATCAAAGAGACGAAAATGAACGATCGTTTAAACCGAAGGAAGATGATTTAAGGTAGTTGGTCCGTAGTGTGTCGGATTTATTTTTTTATTTTTCCTATTAATGCTTTATTTATTAGTCAATTGAGCTAATAGAAGTGCAGACATAATAGAAAATAGTATATAAATATTTACATATGTATATTTATACATATATCGCGGGCGTTACTATAAATTGTAAATTTCTTATGGCTATATCTTCAAGACAAAATGGTAAAAAATTCTGACATTTTTATGATATAATTATAATTTCTATATTAATCCTTAATATCACAATAGTTTTTCATCAAAATCTTAAATGTGGTTTCAAAACAGAAGTTAAAAATTGGACATTAACCTCAACGAATACGTATAAAAAGTGTCATCTTCAGTTCCCAGTGAGCAAGGAACATTAAATTAACGTTTAGAAATGTTGACTTTACGTGTATTTCTTCAATTATCCCGTTTCTTAATATTATTATATATTGTACATATTTTAAAATTATTATTTCGTAATATGAAAATATTTTAAAACATTACGGAAAATATTTTTTTAAATATTACTTTGACATTTATTTGAGGTCAATACGACAGCTCAAAATTACTCATAAAATGTGGATTTAGAAATAATATTGATAATATATTATTATATTTCTATTGTAATATCATTTTTTGTATTGTTCTAATATGTTTGAATTTCGCTGTCGGTCCGCTATTTCAAGAAATTTTGTGCGTGATGACCCAAGTAAAAAGTACATAGGCAATAATCAAAGACTGCATGTTCTTATGGTTAAATTCGTCTTGCACGCTTTCGTGCTGGAAGCATCATTCTATCTTCTTTCGACATGTAATGAAGATAAAATCAAACTTTCGGCACGAAAGCATGCAAAACGAACTTAACCTACATGTGGCCACCTCCAGTCAGTAAGTAATAAGACTACTACCAGGGTCCTTATTGTTGAAATAATTGCATATACGTAAGTGTCATTGCGTAGGTATAATTATATCATAAAATAGCTGCGCAACGACACTTACATATAAAGCATTTCACGAATAGGTGCCCAAAGTGGTATTCACAGGCATTATTGACAGGACGTTCAAATGTTATCGTTTCATTAATATTATCTAAAAAACATTATGGGGATGAAAAACCTTAGAGCTTACGTTATGTGCAGCGTTATGACACTTCCATTTCAACATTATCGAAATCTCCAAATTAGGGTCAAAGTTTGTTCTGATAATGATATTGTATAAAACATTAAATACGACGCATTTGAAAACGTTACACGTTATCGAATATCGTTGCAATAACATCGTAGTAATGATTTTTCGCTTACTGGTTCGCTTACAGCAGCTTCCGGACGGTCAATTGTTTCCTAACTTTGCAGACGCGCAGATAGCATTACCATCAATAATGCAGCTGAAATTTCAAAGGTTTCCTTAGGAAAATGAGGGACTAAGAGAATTTGACGGACCAACTACCTTAAAGCTAGGGAAGATTCAGGATATTATAACCGATATAGAGGCAGCAGCACCGCCGGCGCCGATTAAACGTGAGCGCGTCTACCGGAGCAATTTGAACTCGCGCTCGTAGTTAACTAAACGAGAGCGCGGGCGCGCGCGTCTACGAAAGTAGCCCGACGGCGAAAGTTCGAAAACGACCACAAGGTGTATACTGACCGACTCCGATGAGCGCCGCTTGGCAGAGATATTGCCTGGACACGAGGCACTGAGCGGAAGGTCTGGCGGTAACTACCCCCCATGCCGCGCATCCCAGAGCCGCCGCCAAGCCCAGACAGGTCTGCAGCAACACCAACGCGCTGGCCTCGAGCCCGTCCTGGTAGCCTTGCACTGCCTGAAAGTGATGTTTCTCATTAAGGGATCGCCGCCCGCGAAAACGCGCCGCACGCGCCGGATCCGGACGATAACACGGACAATGCCGCGCCGCTAATGACGGACCGCCCGTCTCTAATATCGATTATCGAAATTGGCCCGTCTCTGGTGCCGTGATTAGAGGGCGGGGAGGGAGGATCTCCCATCGAAATTCGGGGGCTCGATCGATTCGCGAACTCTCGCCCCCGGTAACTTCCAGACACTCTTTAACTACCAAAGCTGTAATAACTAACTAATATCCTTTCCGCAAAATAGATTACGGTGGTCTTAGGTGAGACTTGCGTCGTTAACCCCTTCGGTGGAAATAACCGGCGACGTCGCCGACGGCTTCGCCACCGACCGCCATGTTCAATGAACGTGAATAACCTCGTCAATTTTCCTCGGTGTACGTATATAAGGCGGCGGGAGGAGGAATTTTCATGACGTTTCATGAGACGCAATCGAGCGCGATCGAATGACGCGATAAAATCAAAGACGTGAAATTAAAGTTTCGCGCGGAAGTTTCGAGTCTCATATCAACGTACTCGCAATGATCTTACCCGTTGATTCTAGTGGACGCCCGGTGGGGCCGCGAATTCAGCTAAAATCACTAATGGGATTCTCACGGCGGGAAGTTACTACTAATTAAGGACCCTGCACGACTCCCTGCGTTAATCAGCAAACGCCTCAGGTGCGTACAGTCGCTACTCTCCCAGGAATAACCAAGTATACACAGTAAAAAACATCTTGTACTTGTGTTAAAGTCGATCCTTGTTAGAATTTTTGTGTTGAATTTTTAACACATCCGTGTGTTAATTTAACATATTGTGTTTATCTCAATATTTTATGTTCAGTCAATATTCAACATGCGTAAATATTAAAATAACACATTTTATAATTCGATTAACATATTATGGATAATAATTTCACTGAATATTATTGGTGGGATATTTTGTACGTTAAAATTTATAGAGAAGTTGTGTTAATTACTTTCAATAACGGTTCTCATCTTAAACAATATGAAATACATGTTAGAGTTAGAGCGTAATATGCGAGGTTAGGTCCCGCGTTCGAATCTTATCAGTGATGAGCATGTTTCTCAAATATGATATTGCTTCAGTCAATTAAATGATGTATAAATTGAGAAAATTTCGAGCAAAATCATTGAAGAACAACGGGTATAAAGAAGAAATGATAAATAACAATTTTCCAGTGTGAAAATTACACATTTGTTATATTTGACATTATGAATATGTCAGTTTAACATACAATTTGCTTCTAAATAATACGAAACTGTTACATATTTTGTGTTAACGTTTAATGTAATATTTGAGTTACTTTTCAACATATTCACCTTGTATTAAATTAACAGGATGAATTTGACTGGACGAGACATAGGAAATCTGTTAAATTTGACACAATATTTTTTACCGTACAGAATTCGACGTAATGTCCGTCTTCCAAGTAGCGCTGAAGCGGAACGACGACGGATCATGAAATAAGACTCTCAAGAACGAAACGAGGAAATGAGATTCGCTCGATTCCACTTTGTGTGTCGCGGAAACGCGCGTCCGCGATCGGTCGTTATTTTCCCGAGGAGTCCACTGTCAAAGAGACATGGCGGTCCTCTCGCCTCTCTCTCTCTCTCTCTCTTGCTCGCTCACTATCGCCGAGTGCACTTACGATATAGAAGGCAGGGGTGTAGAGACCGAAACCGGCAGCGCCAGCGGCCAGCATGAGCATCCTCACAGGACGCGATCCCATAGGACTCAGGTCGAACAGCGGCTGCTTCGGTACCTTGTTCGCGGACTTCTTCTCCTTCACTTTACCGCGCTGATTCTTCAGATGTAATATGGCGCGCCGTTGCGGATGGTACAGCGAGGCACTCCGGTAAATCAGCCCCAGGAAGAAGGCCAACGAGAGTGCTCCAGTTACCGATTGAAGCCCCAGCCTCCAACCCAGCTTCCTGCGGGAACAGCGCGAGCGCGTTTATGATCTTCTCCCGCGGAATTTCTCGAATCAGCCGACACGATTCCTTACATATGTATTCTCGTGGCTTTGCGCGTTCTGCATCGTGCGAGTGAAATTACATATTTTCGAGAGGAAATCTCTCTCTCGCCCTTTTTTTCTTGCCGTTTTATCGCCAATTAATTCAACTTCCCGTTCGTGAATAATCGCCGAATGTTTAAACATTTGTTCACACAATCGAGTCTGCGCGTTTCGGTGCGTGTAATGTATTAAACGCGTATACAGGTGCGCGATTTGTTTAAAGTAATTGTAGTAACAAAATTAGTTTTTTAAGAATTCGTTGGAACTTGCACTGTACAGGATATCCTATTTTATTTTTGACAGTCAAATATCTCAAAAAAATATAAGAGATATGAGAAAATGTTTCAGACAAAAGTTATACGGTCTCAAGGGGGAGAAATAATGATAAAATTAAGAAAAAAAAAGACAATTTTTCAAGGTCATATAAAGGTCATTGCCATTTTTTTAAATAGAATGTGGTATTTTTTCTTGAAAAATCTGAAAGAGCATTTAACCCTTTGACGCGTACGGACTTGGACATGTACGGCCTTACGAGTCAAAGGGTTAATTTTATATAAAATGGTCTTAGGACACCTTTGGCCTAAACTCATTATGTAAGGAAATATTCCATGAAAAAAATCTCTATTTATAACGTTTGTCTGAAACATTTTTCCATATTTCTTATATTTTTTGAGATACTTGACTGTCAAAAATAAAATGGGATATCCTGTATATAAATTTAAATATGACCTAATTATTGGCGCAATTAGAAATATATTGATTTGGAAGTTGAGATATTTATAAAGATGACACTTTTTATATGTATTTCTTGAAATTAATGTCCCACTTGTAACTTCTATTTCTAATTTCTTCTAATTTAAGACTTTAGTGGAACACTACTGTGATATTATGGAGTAATATCTTTATATTACTCCATATTCCTTGTATGTCTTTACATACAAATATTTCAGAATTATTGACCATTTTGTTTTGAAAATACAGCAGTGTAAAGTCCATAACTTATGGGAATATTTGAATGTATGTACATATGCATGGAATATTTGATTGTATGTACATATGCATATATGTAAACATATATATATTTCTTTCTATTATCTGTGCATTTTTATTAAATTAACTAATATATAAATATAGTATTAACAAGGAAAATAAAAAATAATATTTTCATACTTGTAATACTATATACATATGTCTATCTCAATTTCATTTAAAATTCATATTTATTACTTAGATAATAAAATAAATACAGAGGGACGTAATTTTGCTTGATAAATAATAAATTTATGGGTGGCCTCTTTGACGCGATACGGAAGATACAGCACTCTGCGATACAACTACCTTAATAACTTAAAAACTATCACGATTAGATTACAAGAGAACCCGTAAAGATTTCGCCTAGCCGAGTGAATTTCTTGCCAAAGTGCAACTCGAGCGCTGAACTCGGCGTCACGGGAAACATGTAAAGATGATCGATGGGATCCTATCGCGAGATACATCCGGTAGAGACAAGAAACGGGAATCTCACGCCGGAAACTTTGTAAAAATCTGCGTAATTAATTTGACGAGATAATAAGAAATCGCGGCGCGTTGAAACCATGAAGTTTGACGATCTCGTGGATTTTTAAAGTTCAAACATTATGCGTTATTATATCCGAGAGGCTTCCGCAACTTGTTAAATAAAAGTTGCGTGATAAAATGGTTCTCACGTGACAGAGATATAGCGATACTATTTGCGATGTGCGACGGTATTTCCATACTATTTCGTTACGCAAGTATAATAGTTACGAAGTTCACGCGTGTACAAATACGCGTTGCGCCGGCCGGCGATGTCGCGTTTATAACCGGAACGAAAAAGTCCACACTGTGCTATCACTTGCTCCGCCGTCGTATTATTCTTTAAGCCAAATTTGACAAGGGAATGTATTAAACCTGTCGGATATTAATAGCCTGTGCGGAACAGCTCGGCGATCTTTAATATTTTCGTAGCACGGTCAGACTGCGTCCTACGACGAGTTTCGTTTACTTCAATATTTTAGCAGAACCGAATAATCGGTGCTCCAATCGAGATGAAAAGCGGCTAAACGAGACGACCATTTCGTAAAATGGAAATTTAATCCTTTGGATATTTTCAAAGCGCACGAGCACACGCACGCACGCACGCATGTACACACACACACACACACACACACACACACACACACACACACACACACACAGATGTGTGTGTTTTCTCTAAATCGATAATTTTAGACACTGTAAAGCCTCCGTCACGATCGGTTTGGTTAAAACCGATCGACGGTTGGAATTTGCGTTTTCAGTAATATTTCAAAATAACAACGTCGTCATAAAATTACAACGGCAAATTGTAATAGTAGTATTCAGGTATTCAGGTCAAGAGATGAAAGGCGAAAGGGGTGGGGAGGGGACTTAAAGGAAAAAGGGAACGTTGGCTTTCAAATCCGGGCATTAAACGGCTAGAAGAAAATAATTAAACCGCTAGCTCGTGGAATTAGCTCTCGCGCGCCCTAATTACATTCAGAAATACAATTATTTAAACATACGAACGCTCTTTACCTTCCTCCCTTTTCTTTTTATTAAATCCCTTATAACCGCGTTTCTCCCCGGCTTTCGCCCCTTGAGTGGGAAATACGTGCGGACGTAGCCGTAAAAATTTTTACGCCCTCCCATTCGTACGCGAATGGAGGAGTATTCGCGAATATGCATATACCTCCCCCTCTCCCCCCGTGCGCGGTGATATTAAAATAAGAAATAAAATAACGGCGGCGGCGGGGGGCGAGGCCGGCAGGTTTCCTCGGTACGTATTTAACATATCGGTGAGACGGCGCGAGTGTTGCGCTTTAAAGCCCTCCCTTGTCCCTTTGGCGCTTGGGATAATGAGGCACCGGCCTCATGACTATTCATAGTACATATCCGGTTTTTATCGCGGAACGTTATCTCCGCGCGCGAGCGCTCGAATTTATTTCCCGCGGCCGCGTCGCGCGCCTTTCCTCGTTCGCTCGCCATCGAAAATGCAACGTGCATTAAATGTTCATCGCGCATTCGCAAAGATCGTCCGATAACGCACGTGTAACAGACCGCATCGTCGTCAGTCGGCCGATCGCCACGCGTTTCACGTGTTTTCGTTACGGGGGGTGGGAGGGAGAGAGAGAGAGAGGCAGAAAATGCGCGGTGGCTCGTGTTTTTTCACGGAACTCCGTGTCATTACGAGCGGAATTATATCCGCGCGCCCACGCGCCATCTTCTTTGCTTGGAACACATCTCTCGATCGTGTTCGATCTGCGCCACCGTCCTACGCGCGCCACGGTAAGTTTAAACCGCGTGCGGCTACCCACGCGCGCGGGTATGACGGTGTGACGGTAGCGGCGGATCCAACAATTCGCGTTCCCCTGCGAGCGGCCGGTTGAATTTTTGCGACAACACCGGAAAATAGACGCGCGCGTTCCGCAATTCCGTCGCGATCAGACGTTCCTTCCGGTCAAACAAATGCCGCTCGATCGAGAGGCTATTTTATTTATTTTTCAGCGCGCTGTCGTTTCGCGCACGAGCGATTAACCATCGGGTCGACGCTACGCAAAATATGTGACGCACGATAACGTCCCCGGCGGAGAAAATATAATGCCGCGGGTGTGTGCGCGTGTTATATTTGCCCCCGTCTAAAATAATATTTGCGCTAGATACTACATATTCATCGCGTATTGATTCGGGCCAATAGATTTGTCCGACGAGCGGATAAACAGCCGGTCGAGGTCCGTCGAGCGTAATCCTCGATTAATTTTTAATACGCTCCTCCTCCGCGGCGCTTTTCACGGTGAATTAATGAGCGCTTCCACCTCGGCCGGCGCGCTTACATTTTTCAACCTTGGTACCTTGGCGCGCGAGACAAGCGGGTTCGCGATTTGGAGGAGGGAAAGGGGGAGGCAACACGAGAGGCGTCCGCTGTAAAAGGAACAAATCTAACATCGCCGCCATCATAATCATGGAAGAAATTCGCGGCGCCCCGGGTAAACCGTATCCGCATTGCGGTTGATTCCCGCTCGAGAATAAAACACGGATTATCCGCCGTTGGTTTTTACGACAACCGTTTTAATCCGCCAGCGCGGAAGGGTTAACGGAAACGGAGGATTTAACTCACGCTAAGACAGACTTGATTAATCTAATCCGTCCGCCGAAAAATCGGCGCGCGCACGCGACCTCTCGTGAAAATTTCGGCGATTCTCCGCGAGTGCAACTCCCGGGGATCTTTCTTCTTGGGGATCGACGCGCAATCTCGCGTCAATTAAGATGCCGGTATATCAAAATTCCCCGCCGTAACACAATCCGGTGTGTACCGCCGACCCGCCGGACAAACTTAGCCAGTTATCGAGTAAGCCATATCGACTTAGCGCGAGTTGCTCTCGTAGCAACCTGATGATATCACGCTCGCCGGTCCAGAAGAGCCCGATCTCTAATTGGATATGCTTTTATATACCCCGGTAGGACCTCGTTGCGCGGTAACGGCAATTAAGCGGCGCGTTTAATAAGCCGCATCTCTCGTGCTGTGCAACGATCTCGCGTGTGCGGTCTATCTACGTGCGAAAGAGAGAGAGAGAGAGAGAGAGATCGAGTTTCACGCCGCGCGATAAATATTCCTCGTCGACGTTTGCGGTCTTCTTCCTACATCGCGCGTTCGAACCGCGTGAAATTCCTCGGGAGTACGTGTGTACGCGGCAATCGCGAGCAATATTTGCATTTGCCGCCGCATTCACGCCGAGTGGATCGAATCGATGCTAACTAACGAACCGCCTCCCTTACTGATCGCGAGGACTCGAAGCACCTATTTCGGCGGTGGTTCCGCGAAAGATATAAATAGTGGCAGAGGTAGCAGAGAGACGAGAGAACCCCGAAGGCTCGGCGGCCGAATAGAACGTTCAATTATTTCACGTCGAATCTGCTCTCTCTCTCTCTCTCTCGTTGTTTTTTGTGCCGGCGACGCCGGGCAGCGCGCGACGCAAACCCCGGGACATGCAGTCGCGCGAAAACCTACGATAAAAGGGTGGCGCGCATTGAAAGCAGTTCCGCCCGTATGTTACACGCGCGCGCGCGCGCGCGACCGCTCGACTTCTCGTCGTGTGCAATTTGTTTCGAGAGTCATTGTCGGCAGGTAAATATCGTTAGCGCTACCAGCACAAAATTGATCGTTTTTCAGCACGCGCGCGGCGGCTGCGGAAAGTCTCACCGGGGCTTATCGGCCGTCGTCTTGTCGATCGTACGTCGAGAGTCCTCGCGATAAATTATCGAGCGTCGCGCTCGATAATTAATCAATCGAACGAGATTTCTCCGAGGGGACCGATCGCCGCGCGCGCCAACGGTTTCGGATTTTCTCGCCTCCCGGCCGTGTCATCCGGCGTCGTAATTTCCCTGACACCGGCCGCTATTGTTCCGCGCGACGAGAAAATAACGAGTGATATTAAATTTGCATCGCGCGCGCCCACACGCGCGGGGAAATAGCGCGGCCGAAGGTTAATTGGATCGCTTCCGCCCGACTTGCGCGAGATATTGAGCAGCGCGGCATTCCTAAGCTCTCTCTCTCTCTCTCTCTATTGGTTAATCTATCCGCGCGTTTCTACCAGTAATACGATGCGATAACTCACCCGACGGCCTCCTTGTAGAAGACGCTGAAGAGCGCAATTCCCACGCCGGTGCCGGCCTGCACCACCATCTCGACGAACTCCCGCCGCTTTCTGAAGTAATTGCCCAACACCAGACTGGCGGTTTCCCTCACGAGGCCGGCCCCAGTGCCCAGTACCAGCCCGTAGCTGCATCGCATTTTACAAGAAAGAGTAAAAATCGCGCGCGCGACTTTACACACTCGGTACATACAAGGGCCTCGCGAGAGTCGAGTCGACGTTCGGGCTTTTTCGCGACGAAGGGGATAAGTCGGGGCGATTTTTATCGGAAAGCACGCAGCAGCTAGCCAGCAGCCGGCTGACTACGCGAACGGTGTCGCTGACGTTTCAAAGGGACTCGGAGAGAGCCCTGGATATCGGACGGCGGAAGCTCGTTTTATTTGAGAACCCCGCCTTTTTACCTCGTGGAGGGAGTTTCCCCTGCGATCAACCGGGATACCGTTTATCGCGCGTCGGCAATGCAAAATTTGTGCATGCGAAACGTGCATGGTCCTTGAAAGCGCGCCGGCCGTGCAATTATTATTACGCACCTAAGGAGCACTTGATGCATCTGGAGGGCGAAGGAGGTGAAGAGCGAGGCCAGGGCGAGCACGAGGCCGCCGATCACCGCCGTCAGCCTTGTGTTGCCGCGACGACACGCGCCGACAACCAGCGGCGCCGAGCCGCGGGAAACCGCGGCGCTCAACGCTCCTGCCCACACTGAAACAATGCGCCCGATAGTGTTGGTCGTGTTCCGATATATTCCATAATTAGGATCGCGATGATCAGCGCGCGACTGGTCCACTTGAGAGATCCTACACGCGTCGCTCCCAATTCTACGGCGCATCCCCCCACGCAGGACGAGCCGCGGCTGTTTTATTCGACGCTCTCTTTTCTCTCTCTCTCTCTCTATCCGTCTGTCTCTCGCTGACCGACAGCGGACGAGACGAGCTCGTTTGCTGATTGATTTGCTCCGAACGCTTCGTGCTAACGAGGAGAGCTCGCAAAACACTCCTCCCTTGGATTTCAACGGAACCCGGTACACGGTGGGCGTTCGCACCGGACGGAGCGGGCGAAAATATATTTTCGCATTTTTCGTTCCCGCCAATGCCCGCTTGGGATTCGGGAAGCCATTCTTGAAACTTGGCTCGATATTGGAAAATGTCGAAGACGAAAACATTTTTCGAAAACGTACCGCGACATTCGTACATAGAGAGAGAGAGAGAGAGAGAGCAGTTTTAAAATCTCGTCAAACTGTTTCCTTCCATTCGTAACGTTTTTCGCGAAAATTTCGACACTGACGCGTTTTCAAGATTTTACTCGACGAGCGTTAGCGCTATCTTTCAGGAAGAACTTGTTCTCGACGAACGGGGGAACGGAGTTCTTTAAAACCGTTTAATAACCGGGCCAACCGTATCGTCCAACCTGCATATCGTTATTTAAATTTGTTCCTTCATTATAGGAGTGCCCAACTAACGGCAACACGATACGACCGGAAGGCCGGAAGAGAACGACGAGGAAAGTTTTCCCTTCGCCTTTCGCTCTCCGAGGCTTCGTGTTTTCGACCGACGTCATCGACGTGCAGATTTATCGCCCATCACCTCGTAATTACTCCCGAAGGAGCATCGGATTTCGCAATTACCATGGAGTCTAACGTGAACTACGTTAAATTTTCTTCGAATAACCGTTAGATCGTTAAGCGCTGTTTACGAATGCGACGATGTGACAACGGCAGCAGCTAGCACGTTTTCAAATCTCATTCGGACGGCCTCCGAAAACAAGCAGCGGAGAAAGAAGTTACATCTCTGTTAAGAAGAAACTGACGGAGATTTACGAGCGAGACGAACATAACAGGATCAACCGTGAATTTATCGATCGCCAGGCTTGCGAATAAAAAAAATAAGGAAACGTGTCGAAGAGAAAGAGAGAGAGAGAGAGATCCGTGCGATTTCCTTCGCGCAATTCGGGCGCACTCGCGAAAATCCACGTTGGAATTTTTACACCCCCGATCGCGCGACGGCTCGAGCGAAAACTCAGATATCCGAGGGAAGCCCGGTGTATGCGTCGCGCGCGCACCGCAGACACGAAGACATCGCAGGCATGGAACGTGAACGTCGACCGATTTAATGGCATCGCGTCAAAGCGCACTATAGCTGATCTCTCTGTAATGCTAAAATTGGACGGGGCTACGTCAATCGTATCGACGTACGTCTCCTGTAATCTCGTAAAAGCATCACTTTTTATCCTTATACTTGGCGAAGTGGCGGAACGCCTCTCTCTCTCTCTCTTTCTTTCCCCCTTTTATAAATATCGTGCCAACTTCGCAAACGCGCCGAAGCGTTTCGCATAATCATACCCTCCGACACGGCGGATACGAATAATCGTGTCGAAACGCATTTGTACACGACAATAGAAATTTAACGGCCGCAGTCTCTTTACCAGCTCGTTCGATTCTTCAACGTGTCCGACTACTTGTCTACCGTTTGTCCTTCTGTCTAGAATTTCGAGTGTTCGGCAAATGTTTTGAGACAGTCGTCGTGCGATCGACACCGACGACCGAGCGCCAGATGGAGAAAATGCACGGCCGATCGGCTCGCGAATCTCTATTGGAAATTACGAGGATATATTATACGCGGGATTAAATCATAATTAACGGTACGATTAAATTCTCGATTCCGTGGTGATTAAAATAAGAAGCATAAGTTTTCACCGTCCATTTACACGAGTGTCAGGCAGAATTCGACCGTTTTAGTCTGAACAAGAAAAATAGCCGGCTAATTAAGTGTAAAATTGAATTTCTTCGCAAGAAAAAGCTCGGTATAATTAATCGAGAAAGAAGGCCCCCGTCAGATACTTACACATTTCAAGCTTCAGTTTTCGCGCAGGCGCGCCTTCGGTGTTTTTGCTCTCGCTAATTTAACATCCAATTAAATTCTCGCTTGGAAATAATGCGCAATAATTAATCCTCGAATAATATCCTGTCACTCGCATAAATCATTTATATATTAGCTCGCTAATACGATTTGAAAACGTGTGCCTGCAACACACACACACACACACACACACACACAGTTTTCCGGAGAAAATTTTCACCGGAGAGATATATCGTGGGAAGAGCAAACGCTCGCAACTGAATGGGTTTGCTGAGAAATTCAATACATCTGCAACGAACGGTCAACCTGACGCGAGTACATCTTCGCCGTGTGTACGAAAGTTTTGAGAAAACGACCCGTCCGCATCGAAATGCGCCCAAGGCGTGACATTATATCCAAAACGAAAAACTCGAGCGCGTACACATTGCGCCGCTACGTTCGGCGAGCCGTCTTTACGAAAATCACCACCTGCCGCAGTATGTCTGAAATTGTGTGTGCATGCGTGCATAATTACGTGCACGACAAGGCAAACACGCGACGACTCCTGGCTCGGCACTTTCGCGCACGTTTTAGAATTTTTCCCGGGAATTTCACGCATGCACACTCTTTTCGCATAAATTCAGGAATATCGACACGCTTTGCGTGTCGGGCGTATCGACGAGCGGCGCGAGAATATACAGGGTGTCACGGGTTCACCGAACGTTCCTCTCTCTCGAAATCAAAGACGAGAGAGTTGCACCGAGACATTATTTCATCTTTACAGTGATGTTATTATTTCGACTGCGCTTTGTACACAGCGATTCATCCACCGGTTCACCAACCCGTACTTGACGAATCAAACTGGATCGAGCGGGCGAAATTTGAAAAGTAATACATCGTCGCTCCAGCTGACGCGCTTCAACAGTTGAAGCTCGAACCCCGAGTAACCCTGCGAGCAGTATTGAGGATAAAACCATTCGATCGATGAAAGTTTCGAACGAACCTCGGAATGAATATGCATTGTCCGGTCTTGTCGCGACTTAAGAGAGCTTCTCGAAGAAATCCGAATATTGGTGCGCCAAAGCTTCAACAGGTAGCGACTTCGGCGACGTTCTTACGCAAATAATTTATGAGTCTGGACGTTTTTAGCGCTATTTGCGCAACGCTTGGCCAAATGGGGTGATGAACTCTAACTTTCTCTCTCTCTCTCTCTCTCTCTTCGTTTAGGATTTCCCGGATTGGATTTACAGGAAGCTTTTGAGCGCCACGTCGGATTTCTCCGGCGAAATATTTAAGAGCCCTTTCACGTTCCAGCGCTACCCGATTGTCGGTCCTCCCGTTTTTACGCAAGCCGCCGTTACTTTCAAGGTAGAGAAACGTTTTACCGGATAATCGCAACGCGCGAATTATCGTTCAGTTATTTCAACGTGAACGCTGTATCTTTCATTCTGCTTTCATTCGTTACCAACGATCCTTCCTGTCATAACTATTCGCCGATAGATTTACCACGAAGATCCGTTTGTTACGCTAAGAACAAACCGAGAGGGGGAGAGAGAGAGACTTCGGAATAAATTATCATTAAGCGGACGTTATCTTTTCAAATTCTCGCAGGGATGAAGCCGCGTTACACCGGCGGTGCGCCGGCATCATTTCCGGCTCGTCAGTCTTCTTTACGGAAAGAGCAGCCGGCGACTCGCGCGTTCGCGCGACGTTCGCGTTTCCACCCGTGAAACCCATACAAGGCACTCGAAAAGCAGTAAACACAGCGGGGGTTTATGTTTCCCATTACCACAGCTCAGATGATATATGAGAGGAGAGGAACCCGTCATCGGACGAGGCGGGATAATTTTTCAAAACGAAACGAACCGCGGCGATGACACTACGCTTTAAATACGTTCTCGGGGGGAATAAAAGGCCCTTTTCACGGCGATCTTGGCGCGCATCGGCAACAAGGAGCGCGGGACGGACGATAGCAGGTAGAGCCTTTGTTCCCGTTCGTCTCGTCCGTCATTACGTATTTCTCTTGTACCATGGCGTTCTCCTCAATGACGTCTCTTCTCGCGAGAGAGAGAGGGAGAGAGAGAACACGCGCTTGGCTACATGCTCTCTTTCTCCTCTAGTCGTTTTCATTCCCGAAGAATATTTTAACTACTTGGCGCATCGGCGTTGTCGAGCATAAGCTCGGCGATATATTTCGGCGTCGATAAAAGGCTGGTCTAACGCTACATCATTTCTCTCGCTCTCAGTCGGTTTCAAAGGATACCTCGAATTACATTTTCCGCAACTGCTTCCGCCAGCCAGCCAGCCGGCGGCGATTGTTGCCCCCTCGGCGAGCAATCTCCGTCATCACCGTGACTAATTGTCGGCAATTCGAGAGATTAGAAAAATGTGGAGAATGTTCCCATAAATACTGAGCCACGGAAAACCTTCCCTCCTTGACGGGAACGATTGAAAACGAGCAAACGTTCACTGTTTAAAAAAAATAAGAGGAAAGAAAAATGTTATTTTGGAGGATTTTAAATATAAAGTTCTGCGTCCAAGAATGAAATCTTCAACGTCGGAAACCAGCAGTTTGTAAGGAAAGGATGATGCGCAATCGCATTTTCGACGAGGAAAATCCGCACCGAATTATCCGAGGAAAACTCCCCTAAATTTACGTTCACTAATCCAGTTATTCTATATATTTTTTCGTTACGATCGTTTTTAATGGACTGATAGAAAGTTGGCGTCTCTCGCTGGAAGAGTCGTGTTTAACTCGGTATTTCTCGGTAACGCAGTAAAAGCACTACCGCCGACCGCTTTTTATCGAGTGTACGTAGCTTTTATTGCAAGAGGAAGAGAAGGGGAAGGAAAAAGAAAGAGAAGGGG